GAGCCACCACAGACAAGAGCCACCACAGAGAAGAGCCACCACAGACAGACAAGAGCCACCACAGACAGACAAGAGTCACCACAGACAGACAAGAGCCATCACAGACAAGAGCCACCACAGACAAGAGCCACCACAGAGAAGAGCCACCACAGACAGACAAGAGCCACCACAGACAAGAGCCATCACAGACAAGAGCCACCACAGACAAGAGTCACCAGAGACAAGAGCCACCACAGACAAGAGTCACCAGAGACAAGAGCCACCACAGACAAGAGCCACCACAGACAAGAGTCACCAGAGACAAGAGCCACCACAGACAAGAGCCACCACAGACAAGAGCCACCACAGACAAGAGTCACCACAGACAAGAGTCACCACAGACAAGAGTCACCACAGACAAGAGCCACCACAGACAGACAAGAGCCACCACAGACAAGAGCCACCACAGACAAGAGCCACCACAGACAAGGGTCACCACAGACAAGAGTCACCACAGACAAGAGCCACCACAGACAGACAAGAGTCACCACAGACAAGAGCCATCACAGACAAGAGTCACCACAGACAAGAGCCATCACAGACAAGAGCCACCACAGACAAGAGTCACCACAGACAAGAGCCATCACAGACAAGAGCCACCACAGACAAGAGCCACCACAGACAAGAGTCACCACAGACAGACAAGAGTCACCACAGACAAGAGCCACCACAGACAAGAGCCACCACAGACAAGAGTCACCACAGACAAGAGTCACCACAGACAAGAGCCATCACAGACAAGAGTCACCACAGACAAGAGCCACCACAGACAAGAGTCACCACAGACAGACAAGAGTCACCACAGACAAGAGCCACCACAGACAAGAGTCATCACAGACAAGAGCCACCACAGACAAGAGTCACCACAGACAAGAGCCATCACAGACAAGAGCCACCACAGACAAGAGTCACCACAGACAAGAGCCACCACAGACAGACAAGAGCCACCACAGACAAGAGCCACCAGACAAGAGCCACCACAGACAAGAGCCACCACAGACAAGAGTCACAACAGACAAGAGCCACCACAGACAAGAGCCACCACAGACAAGAGCCATCACAGACAAGAGTCACCACAGACAAGAGCCACCACAGACAAGAGTCACCACAGACAAGAGTCACCACAGACAAGAGCCACCACAGACAAGAGTCACCACAGACAAGAGTCACCACAGAGAAGAGTCACCACAGACAAGAGCCATCACAGACAAGAGTCACCACAGACAAGAGCCACCACAGACAGACAAGAGTCACCACAGACAAGAGCCACCACAGACAAGAGCCACCACAGACAAGAGTCACCACAGACAAGAGCCACCACAGACAAGAGCCACCACAGACAAGAGCCACCACAGACAAGAGTCACCACAGACAAGAGCCATCACAGACAAGAGCCACCACAGACAGACAAGAGTCACCGCAGACAAGAGTCACCACAGACAAGAGTCCTCACAGACAAGAGTCACCACAGACAGACAAGAGTCACCACAGACAAGAGCCACCACAGACAAGAGCCACCACAGACAAGAGTCACCACAGACAAGAGCCACCACAGACAAGAGCCACCACAGACAGACAAGAGTCACCGCAGACAAGAGCCACCACAGACAAGAGCCACCACAGACGAGTCACCACAGACAAGAGCCACCACAGACAAGAGCCACCACAGACAGACAAGAGCCACCACAGACAGACAAGAGCCACCACAGACAAGAGCCACCACAGACAAGAGCCACCACAGACAAGAGCCACCACAGACAAGAGTCACCACAGACAGACAAGAGCCACCACAGACAAGAGCCACCACAGACAAGAGCCACCACAGACAAGAGCCACCAGAGACAAGAGTCACCACAGACAAGAGCCACCACAGACAGACAAGAGCCACCACAGACAAGAGTCACCACAGACAAGATAAGAGCCACCACAGACAAGAGCCACCACAGACAGACTAGAGCCACCACAGACAAGAGCCACCACAGACAAGAGCCACCACAGACAAGAGCCACCACAGACAAGAGTCACCACAGACAGACAAGAGCCACCACAGACAAGAGCCACCACAGACAAGAGCCACCACAGACAAGAGCCATCACAGACAAGAGTCACCACAGACAAGAGCCACCACAGACAAGAGCCACCACAGACAGACAAGAGTCACCACAGAAAAGAGCCATCACAGACCAGAGTCACCACAGACAAGAGCCATCACAGACAAGAGCCACCACAGACAAGAGTCACCACAGACAAGAGCCATCACAGACAAGAGCCACCACAGACAAGAGCCATCACAGACAAGAGCCACCACAGACAAGAGCCACCACAGACAGACAAGAGCCATCACAGACAAGAGCCACCACAGACAAGAGCCACCACAGACAAGAGCCACCACAGACAGACAAGAGTCACCACAGACAAGAGTCACCACAGACAAGAGCCACCACAGACAAGAGCCACCACAGACAAGAGCCACCACAGACAGACAAGAGCCATCACAGACAAGAGCCATCACAGACAAGAGTCACCACAGACAAGAGCCACCACAGACAAGAGCCACCACAGACAAGAGTCACCACAGACAAGAGCCATCACAGACAAGAGCCACCACAGACAAGAGCCACCACAGACAAGAGCCACCACAGACAAGAGTCACCACAGACAGACAAGAGTCACCACAGACAAGAGCCATCACAGACAAGAGTCACCACAGACAAGAGCCACCACAGACAAGAGTCACCACAGACAGACAAGAGTCACCACAGACAAGAGCCATCACAGACAAGAGTCACCACAGACAAGAGTCACCACAGACAAGAGCCACCACAGACAAGAGTCACCACAGACAAGAGCCATCACAGACAAGAGTCACCACAGACAAGAGCCATCACAGACAAGAGCCACCACAGACAAGAGTCACCACAGACAAGAGCCATCACAGACAAGAGCCACCACAGACAAGAGCCACCACAGACAAGAGCCACCACAGACAAGAGTCACCACAGACAGACAAGAGCCACCACAGACAAGAGCCATCACAGACAAGAGCCACCACAGACAAGAGCCACCACAGACAGACAAGAGTCACCACAGACAAGAGCCATCACAGACAAGAGTCACCACAGACAAGAGCCATCACAGACAAGAGCCACCACAGACAAGAGTCACCACAGACAAGAGCCATCACAGACAAGAGCCACCACAGACAAGAGCCATCACAGACAAGAGCCACCACAGACAAGAGTCACCACAGACAAGAGTCACCACAGACAAGAGCCATCACAGACAAGAGTCACCACAGACAAGAGCCACCACAGACAAGAGTCACCACAGACAGACAAGAGTCACCACAGACAAGAGCCACCACAGATAAGAGTCATCACAGACAAGAGCCACCACAGACAAGAGTCACCACAGACAAGAGCCACCACAGACAAGAGCCACCACAGACAAGAGCCATCACAGACAAGAGTCACCACAGACAAGAGCCACCACAGACAGACAAGAGCCACCACAGACAAGAGCCACCAGACAAGAGCCACCACAGACAAGAGCCACCACAGACAAGAGTCACTACAGACAAGAGCCACCACAGACAAGAGCCACCACAGACAAGAGTCACCACAGACAAGAGCCACCACAGACAAGAGCCACCACAGACAGACAAGAGCCACCACAGACAAGAGTCACTACAGACAAGAGTCACCACAGACAAGAGCCATCACAGACAAGAGTCACCACAGACAAGAGTCACCACAGAGAAGAGTCACCACAGACAAGAGCCATCACAGACAAGAGTCACCACAGACAAGAGCCACCACAGACAAGAGCCACCACAGACAGACAAGAGTCACCACAGACAAGAGCCACCACAGACAAGAGCCACCACAGACAGACAAGAGCCACCACAGACAAGAGCCACCACAGACAAGAGCCACCACAGACAAGAGTCACCACAGACAAGAGCCACCACAGACAAGAGCCACCACAGACAAGAGTCACCACAGACAAGAGTCCGCACAGACAAGAGTCACCACAGACAGACAAGAGTCACCACAGAGAAGAGCCACCACAGACAAGAGCCACCACAGACAAGAGTCACCACAGACAAGAGCCACCACAGACAAGAGCCACCACAGACAGACAAGAGTCACCACAGACAGACAAGAGCCACCACAGACAAGAGTCACCACAGACAAGAGTCACCACAGACAAGAGTCACCACAGACAAGAGCCACCACAGACAAGAGCCACCAAAGACAGACCAGAGCCACCACAGACGAGTCACCACAGACAAGAGCCACCACAGACAAGAGCCACCACAGACAGACAAGAGCCACCACAGACAGACAAGAGCCACCACAGACAAGAGCCACCACAGACAAGAGTCACCACAGACAAGAGTCACCACAGACAAGAGCCACCACACAGAAGAGCCACCACAGACAGACAAGAGCCACCACAGACAAGAGCCACCACAGACAAGAGCCACCACAGACAGACAAGAGCCACCACAGACAGACAAGAGCCACCACAGACAAGAGTCATCACAGACAAGAGCCACCACAGACAAGAGCCACCACAGACAGACAAGAGCCACCACAGACAAGAGCCATCACAGACAAGAGTCACCACAGACAAGAGCCACCACAGACAAGAGCCACCACAGACAGACAAGAGCCACCACAGACAAGAGCCATCACAGACAAGAGTCACCACAGACAAGAGCCACCACAGACAGACAAGAGCCACCACAGACAAGAGCCACCTCAGACAAGAGCCACCACAGACAGACAAGAGCCACCACAGACAGACAAGAGCCACCGCAGACAAGAGTCACCGCTGCTTAGGCGCAGAAGCTGGTGACAGACAAGTCGGCAGCTTCACTTTAACCCTGTCTCTCAAAGAGCCGTGGCCGTGGCCCTCACTCTCCCCTCAGCCCTCCGTCTAGAGGGTGCACCCACCGGGCAGGCCGTGGTCACGGCCCCGCTGCAGGTTTAGCGACGCCAGGTCCAAGGCGCCAGGGGTGGACAGCACAAAGAGCCGCTCGGTCAGCACCTCGCTCATCAGCTGGTCCTGCACCTGCAGCTTGGCGGGGCTGGCCAGGAGACCCCTCACGATGGGATCCAAGCCCCCTGCAGGACAGCAGGTGGGAGTCAGGAGTCAGGAGACCCCTCACGATGGGATCCAAGCCCTCTGCAGGACAGCAGGTGGGAGTCAGGAGCCAGGAGACCCCTCACGATGGGATCCAAGCCCCCTGCAGGACAGCAGGTGGGAGTCAGGAGTCAGGAGACCCCTCACGATGGGATCCAAGCCCCCTGCAGGACAGCAGGTGGGAGTCAGGAGCCAGGAGACCCCTCACGATGGGATCCAAGCACCCTGCAGGACAGCGGGTGAGAGTCAGGAGTCAGGAGACCCCTCACCATGGGATCCAAGCCCCCTGCAGGACAGCAGGTGGGAGTCAGGAGTCAGGAGACCCCTCACGATGGGATCCAAGCCCTCTGCAGGACAGCAGGTGGGAATCAGGAGCCAGGAGACCCCTCAGGATGGGATCAGGGCCTGAGGGACAGTGGGCGGAGTCAGGAGTCAGGAGACCCCTCAGGATGGGATCAGGGCCTGAGGGACAGTGGGCGGAGTCAGGAGTCAGGAGACCCCTCAGGATGGGATCAGGGCCTGAGGGACAGTGGGCGGAGTCAGGAGACCCCTCAGGATGGGATCCAAGCCCCCTGCAGGACAGCAGGTGGGAGTCAGGAGTCAGGAGACCCCTCACCATGGGATCAGGGCCCTGAGGGAAGGTGGGCGGGAGTCAGGCGTCAGGTGACCCCTCACCATGGGATCAGGGCCCTGAGGGACAGTGGGCGGGAGTCAGGAGTCAGGAGACCCCTCACCATGGGATCAGGGCCCTGAGGGACAGTGGGCGGGAGTCAGGAGTCAGGAGACCCCTCACCATGGGATCAGGGCCCTGAGGGACAGTGGGCGGGAGTCAGGAGCCAGGAGACCCCTCACCATGGGATCAGGGCCCTGAGGGACAGTGGGCGGGAGTCAGGAGCCAGGAGACCCCTCACCATGGGATCAGGGCCCTGAGGGAAGGTGGGCGGGAGTCAGGCTGCTCTGAGTTCTGGAGCAGGGCCAGGACTTCTGAATCGCACTCTCGTTCTTGACAACCTTGGATGGATTTCCCCCAGTGAGGTGGCCCTGGCTCTCGTGGTGGACGGAGCCTGGGCTGGCTGGGCCGCAGGGGGCCAGGGAGGACTCTCAGAGCCTGAGGGCCCCGAGGGGTCCCCCAGCCTGCAGCTGTCAGCCTTTGTTTTCACAGCAGAAACATTAAGAGAAAACGTGTGTGTCCTCCAACAACCAAGAACACATTGGGTGTCCTCTGGCAACCACACACTAAGCAGCGGGGACTCGGCTGGAAGCAAGGGTTCCGGAACCTCGCCGCCCCTGCCGGGCCTGAGGCTGCCCCACGGCAATCTGAATCCTTCATCTGTGGGGTACAGTCTGCTAAAGAGCCCTCGAAGCCAAAAACAGCTCCTCTGATGAGTTCACTGCCCTGGGGTGGGGGGTGAGGGGTGAGGTGAGGGGGAGCCGGGGCTTTCCCGCCTTTCATGGGGCAGGGAGTCTCAGTCAGCCATAGTTTCCATCCACTGTGCTGACCCCGCTGCAGACAGGGCTGCTCAGAGATTTGGGCACCTTCTAGAAGGGAAGAACATGGGGAGAAGAAGGGGGGGGGTGAGGGAAATGGGGAGAAGAGAGGGAGAGGAAGGGGGAGGGGGAGAGGGCACCAAGGAAGCACAAACAAGCCACTCTCCAATCTAACCTGGAAGCAGTTATTTTCATTGGAAGGCTAGCCTCCTGAGGTGTGCACGGCCAGGGGCCAGGTGGCCAGGGGCCAGGCGGCCAGGGGACACGTGGGGTGAGGGATGGCCCCGTGGCATCCTCCCTAGAGCACCTGGCGATGGGTGACTTCCCAGGGGCCTTGGGCGCCTGAGGCTTGGTGTGATGGGGCATGGCTGGCTGTCTGTCTGTCTGTCTCCCTCCCTCCTCTCCCTCTCCCCCCCTTCTCCTCCCTCGGCCACAGCTCCCTCCCACCTCCTGTGGACTTGCTGGGATCTGGTGGCCTTTCCTGCCCAAGCTATGCAGCCAGCCTGGCAGTGAGGCCAGGCCAGGTGGACGGACCCCCGGGGCGGTGGATGGGCCCCAGGGGGGTGGACGGACCCCGGGGCAGTGGACGGGCCCCCGGGGCAGTAGATGGACCCCAGGGCAGTGGACGGACCCCCGGGGCAGTAGATGGACCCCGGGGCGGTGGACGGGCCCCGGGGGGGTGGATGGACCCCGGGGCTGTGGACGGGCCCCGGGACGGTAGGTGGGCCCCCGGGGTGGTGGATGGACCCCGGGGAGTGGATGGTGGATGGACCCCGGGGAATGGACGGTGGATGGACCTCGGGGGATGGACGGACCTCGGGGAGGATGGACAGACCCCGGGGGGTGGACCAACCCCGGGGCGGTGGATGGACCCCGGGGAGTGGACGGTGGATGGACCCCGGGGAGTGGACGGTGGATGGACCCCGGGGAGTGGACGGTGGACAGACCCCGGGGGTGGACCAACCCCGGGGCGGTGGACGGACCCCGGGGAGTGGACGGTGGACAGACCCCGGGGGGTGGACGGACCCCCACCTTCCCGGATGAGCCGCCAGGGGCTGAAGAAGGCGTCGTGCAGGCCCAGCCCGGGCAGCCCCGCGAGGTCCTGGAAGTCCGGGCCCAGCCTCCGCACCAGCGGCCGCACGGCTGCGTGGCCGAAGCGGAAGGCCGCGGTGGCGAAGACGTTGGACACCGTGGGGTTCACGGTGGGGTCGTAGCCCGCGTAGGGGCCCACGTACCGCTGGAAGCCCCCGGCGCCCAGGATGCGCGGCGCGTAGTCCCGCAGCGTGATGAGCTGTGCGGAGGGCGGGGTCTGAGCCGAGCTCCAGGGGCGGGGCGGGGCAGAGGGCGGGGCAGGACGGAGGGGGCGGGGTCTGAGCCGAGCTCGGGGGTGGGGCGGGGCAGGATGGAGGGGGCGGGGTCTGAGCCGAGCTCGGGGGTGGGGCGGGGCGGGGCAGGACGGAGGGGGGCGGGGTCTGAGCCGAGCTGGGGGCGGAGGGCGGGGCTGGGGGCGGGGCAGGACGGAGGGGGCGGGGTCTGAGCCGAGCTCGGGGGTGGGGCGGGGCGGGGCAGGACGGAGGGGGCGGGGTCTGAGCCGAGTTCGGGGGTGGGGCGGGGCAGGACGGAGGGGGCGGGGTCTGAGCCGAGCTCGGGGGTGGGGCGGGGCGGGGCAGGACGGAGGGGGCGGGGTCTGAACTGAGCTCGGGGGCGGGGCGGGGCTGGGCGGAGGGAGAGGCTGGGCGGGGTCTGAGCCGAGCTCGGGGGACGGGGTGGGGACGGGGCAGGGTGGAGGGGGCGGGGTTTGTGCCGAGCTCAGGGGCGGGGCGGGGTGGAGGGCGGAGCAGAGGGCGGAGCGAGGGCTATGCGGAGGGGCAGGGCAGAGGGCGGAGCGGAGGGCGGGATGGAAGGGGCGGAGGGCGGAGCGAATGGGAGGGCGGGCGGAGGGGCGGGCGGAGGGGCGGGGCGGAGGGCGGGATGGAAGGGGCGGAGGGCGGAGCGAATGGGAGGGCGGGCGGAGGGGCGGGGCGGAGGGCGGGATGGAAGGGGCGGAGGAGCGGGGCGGAGGGCGTAGCGAATGGGAGGGCGGGCGGAGGGGCGGGGCGGAGGGGCGGGGCGGAGGGCGGGATGGAAGGGGCGGAGGGCGGAGCGAATGGGAGGGCGGGCGGAGGGGCGGGGCGGAAGGGGACGGAGGGAGTGCGGTGCGATTGGAGGGCCTGTGGGGGCCGCGCCGCCCCTGTCCCGCTCGCCCGCGAGCCGCACCTGGTGCAGGGCGCCCACCAGCTTGCGCGCCTCCCGGTAGACGGTGTCCGCGCTCCAGTGCGGGTTGCGCGCGCGCAGCGCGGCGGCCAGGCGGTTGTGCTCGCGCAGCCACAGCGTGTGCAGGGCGGCCAGCGCGGGCACCTCGCTGGCGCGCGCGTCCCCGGCCAGGAAACAGGGCGCGCGGGGGGCGCGGGGCGCGCGCGCGGCGCCGGGCGGGGGCGCGCAGGCGGGGCGCGCGCGCGCGAGCGGCAGGAGCGCGCGGCCGGCGTCGCGGCGGCGCGCGTGGACCCGCAGCGCCCCCGCCGCGCCCGCCCAGTCCCGCAGCTGCCGCTCGGCGGCCTCGGAGCCGCCGTACACCGTGGACGCGTCGAGGAACGAGGTTAGCGCGTTCATCTGCTGCCGCGCGCCGGCGGCCGACAGGTTGCCCCGCAGCGCGCCGCCGTCCCCGGAGCCGCAGGCCGCGGCTGAGCGGTGGAAGGGCAGGCACGGGGCGCCCGCGGCCGGCCCGGGCCCGGCGGCCAGCTGCGGGGGGAGACGCGGGTCACCGGGCCCGTGCGAGGCCTCGGAGGGCCGGCCGGTCCCCGCGCTCGGCCCCGCGCGGTACCGGGTGTCCGGCGGCCGCCTCCCCGCTGGAAGTCCGCGCCGGTCCCCGTACCGTCGGGGGGGGAGGGGGGGGGGAGCGGGCCGTCGAGGGCGTGGCGGGGGCGGGCCGGGGCGTGGCGCGGCGGGCGCCGTCGGGGGCGTGGTGGGGGCGTGGCGCGGCGGGCGCCGTCGGGGGCGTGGTGGGGGCGTGGCACGGCGGGCGCCGTCGGGGGCGTGGCGGGGGCGTGGCGCGGCGGGCGCCATCGGGGGCGTGGCGGGGGCGTGGCGCGGCGGGCGCCGTCGAGGGCGTGGCGGGGCCGGGCCGGGGCGTGGCGCGGCGGGCGTCGGGGGCGTGGCGGGGGCGTGGCGGGGGCGTGGCGGGGCGGGCGCCGTCGGGGGCGTGGCGGGGGCGGGCCGGGGCGTGGCGCGGCGGGCGCCGTCGGGTGCGTGGCGGGGGCGTGGCGCGGCGGGCGCCGTCGGGGGCGTGGCGGGGGCGTGGCGCGGCGGGCGCCGTCGGGGGCGTGGCGGGGCGTGGCGCGGCGGGCGCCGTCGGGGGCGTGGCGGGGGCGTGGCGCGGCGGGCGTCGGGGGCGTGGCGGGGGCGTGGCGCGGCGGGCGCCGTCGGGGGCGTGGCGGGGGCGGGCCGGGGCGTGGCGCGGCGGGCGCCGTCGGGGGCGCGGCGGGTACCTGGATGGGGAAGCAGGGGCTCCGGTTCTCACACGTCCGCCCGCAGTCCTCTCCGCCCGCGCTCTGCGGCGTGAGGGCCACGTCGTGGGCGATGTACTGTCCCCACGCGGTCAGGAAGTCGGAGTACTGGTCGTCCTCCCTCACAGCCGAGTTTGAAGCTCGAATGACGAGCCTCGAGACCTCCCGCACCTGGGTAAGGAGAGCTGCGTGTCACCATGCGGACGGGCCACGACACGAGGCCACCGGGCTGCGACACGAGGCTGGGGTCCTGTCCCGGGAGGCCACCGGGCTGCGACACGAGGCTGGGGTCCTGTCCCGGGAGGCCACCGGGCTGCGACACGAGGCTGGGGTCCTGTCCGGAGAGGCCACGAGGCTGCGACACGAGGCTGGGGTCCTGTCCGGAGAGGCTGGGGTCCTGTCTGGAGAGGCTGGGGTCCTGTCTGGAGAGGCTGGGGTCCTGTCTGGAGAGGCTGGGGTCCTGTCTGGAGAGGCTGGGGTCCTGTCCGGAAAGGCCACCCGGCTGCGACACGAGGCTGGGGTCCTGAATTCCTGGCAGGGTCCTCGGTCACAGGGCTTGGGGTGCCCGGGAAGCGGTTTCCTGAAGGGGGGGGGGTAGGGGGTGGAAGCCTGGAGCGTCAGCCCAGCTCTGCTGCTTTGCAAGTCAGATGCCTCCTCTAAAGTGGACGGGAAGGGATCAGCTGTCAGGTTTTCAAAGGCGTTTTGGGAAGCGCCATGAGCCCTCCACTGGGAGCAGAGCTGCCTGGATCCCTGCCTGGGAGCCTGAGACCGGCGGGTGATGACCTGCTGCTTTTACTTCCTCCTGATGAGCTGGGACATCTGTCACTGCAGCCTCACCTCTGCTGCCCTCTGCACTTCAGGGTCAGAGAGAGAGAGCTTGTTTCACAGATCCAGCTGGAGAGGAAATTCATCCCCAAATGGGTGACACCCCAGCCCCCCAGCCCCTCCCTGGTGGGACCCCCGTCCCAGCAAGTCACGGCTCAGTCCCCTAGCGGTCACCCAGCGCCCCAGCCGGTCACTCCCAGCCTCTGACCAGAGCTTGCTGCCTCTAGCTCCCCTCTGCTGAGGCGGTGCTCTGTGGGCCTGGGGTCTTTGGAAGAGAGCATTGTGGGTCCTGTCTGGAAAGGGCACACGCCTTTGGGGTTCAGAGCGTGGAATCTGGTAGAACAGCTCCCAAAGATGCCTACATTATAATCCTGGACACTCCAGATGAGATTGTATGCAGGACTTTGAGATGGAAGCAGTTACCTGGATTTCGGGGTAGTCCAGTCCAGTCACTGCCAGCTCGCTGCTTGGCACTGAGAACTGACTTTGGAGGAGGTATGGAGACATTCCACAGTTGCTAGCTTTGCAGCAAGAGGCTGTGGGCAGCCCCTAGCAGTTGGAAGGATGGGGCTGGGGCTGAACCTTGGTGGAAGAGGCTTGAACCCAGCACACCCCACTGCCCACACACAGTTGGAAAGGCAAGGAGGTGGCTTCTTCCTGAAGGGCTCACAGAAGGCTATGGCCCTTAGACATCCCAATTTCAGCCACAGAGAACCCCTCAGATCTTTGGCATGCAGAACTGAGGATCATAAATTTCTGTTGTCCTAAGCCTCTAAAATTGGAGTAATCTGTCAGGTCAGGACTAGGAAGCCAGCAGCCGACTTGGTTTGTAGAATCACAGGACAGCGCCGCCGAGAATTCCGGAAGCCTCAGCGGTTGAACTGGGATGTGTCAGCACAAGCCAGTCAAGATAGTCTTACCCCACGTCAAAGGCTGGCACTGACGCTGAGGAGGCAGCGGCTGGTGGAGGCTGGGAGTGTATGAGCTTGCTGGGCCTGCCTGCTGCCGGTACGCTAAGGAGGCAGCAGCTGGTGGAGGCTAGGAGTGTATGAGCTTGCTGGGCCTGCCTGCCGCCCGGAGCACCGAGCTCAGCAAGCCTCTGCTCACCGCTCCTCCACCGCTCCTCACCAGATGCCGGGAGCGCGCCGTCCCCTCCTGAGAAAGCGGCTCTCCTTCATAGGGGGCTTTGTACGGTGTTGGCCAGCAGCTGACCAGGATGCCCCTGGCCAGGCTGGGCCTTGACTTCTGGGTACTGGTGTCTGGGCCGAACCTCATGTATGCTTTGGGGTGTATCAAGCATTCCATTATAGAATATGGTATATGGCTGGGTTAGCCTCTGATGTGGGTCGTCCGGTGAGAGAAAGCAGATTAGCAGTGTGGTATGCATGAGTTCCACAAGCACAGGGCATGAGGAACACACAGCCACTACCGTCACAGGTAGGTGCTTTGGATGCAGCTGGTCCTCCACTGGAGAACAGGAGAATTTATCTGAAAACTCAGGTGCTCATCGAGAGCAGGGGCGGCAAAGCTGGTGGAAACAATTTAAATCTGAGTTGCTCTGCTTGCTGAAGAATGATGCTAATTTTTGGCACCTCATTCCTAAACTTCACCCTAGGACCCTGGCCTCACCCTGACCGGCAGCTCGGGCCCCTCGACTGTGTGAAGCCCCAGAGAGATTAAGCAAGGTCTCTGGAGACGCCGTCCCCCCTGGGGGCAGGGCCCTCTCTGGGGGATCAGCTCCCACCCTGCTGAGAACCAACCGGGGGCAGGGCCGTCCCATGGTACAGGAAGTCGGGGTTCCAGCCGCGGGGCTGACTGAAGCCGTCTTCATAGGCAGCAGGGAGCCACCGGGCCAGGGCCGTATTGGAGGCTCCCCATCTGGGGTGGTCCCTGAGGAGGCAAGCACAGGGGGGCGTCTGAGATGGGAGAAAAGCAGGAAAGACGCTGGGCCCGAACGTGCCACGCTGCACTCAAGGATGGGGGGCCGTGGGTCCCCCGCTTAAACATCTCCAAGTGGCACCAACACGCTGCGGCTCCAGCGGCTGCCCTTGGGCACGGCCAGGCCTGGCTGGAGAAAATGGGTCTCCATTGGCCCAAGTTTCCCATAGTTTCCCAGCCCTCTTCCCATTCTAGGTGTCCTGCCTTCCTGTGGCCTGGTGCTCTGCCCCTTCCCTGTGTCCTCTCTCGAACTTCTGTGGAGATAGAACCCTTGTCCTCAGAAAGCCCTGAGGTCCCCTCCCAGGAGGACAGACACTTCAGGCTCACACGGCAAAGCCAAGACTTGAAACAGTATGTCACCCCAACCCCCCAGGGAGCGCCTGCCCTGCAGCTGTGTGTGCCTTTAGGCTACAAGTGGGTCACGTTGGGATTTCCTGAGAGTTCTGAATTTATAGGTGGGAAGGTTATCCAGGGAACACACACAAATGCATTTATCTGAATTAAAAACAAACTCAGGCCTTTTCTGAGAGTTGAGTGGTTTGTAAGAGTGGACTCAGCAATGAAGCTCAGCTTATGGGAAATGTTTTCCATAAGGAGGTTGATCTGCACATTTTCTCTTTCTCTCCCTCCCAGCTTCCCTCCCTTCCTTTCTTTTGAGTCCATCATGGCACTTATCCTCAGGGAGCTGTCCCCAAGCTCTTTTGCTCAAGGGAAGTGCTCCATCGCTTGAGCCAGAGCCCCACCTCTGGCTTTTCTAGCTGGTTAATTGAAGACCAGAGTCCCATGTCTTGGCTGCTTGAACTGGCTTGGCGCTGCAGTCCTCAGACCTCAGCCTCCTGAGTTGCTAGGGTTACAGGTGTGAGCCACGGCGCCCAGCTTCCTCAGTTTTATTCTATGGGTCAAATACATTTTGGCGGCCGGTGTGATGGGCGGAGGGGAGGAACATTGTCCGCCGGCCGCTGCCTCACCCAGCAGCGCTCTGAACCTGTTAGCGGCAGCCATGCTGCTCAAGTGATGTTTCTGGTCTGCTGGCACGGCAAGGAGAAACTTCTATTATCAAGGCTTTGTTGATCTGTAGCCCGCTAGGTGGATCAAGTTATGAAGTGCGTGTAAGTACTGGATTTAACTGGCTGCAGTAAGCAAGCGCGGGCTTGGCGTGCACGTGAGTGCTGTCCCTTGTTGCAGCCAGCTTGTCTTCATTCCATACAGAGTTGCCACCGGAGCCACTGTTCCGCCCTCTCCTTTTGCGCTTGCTAGTTATGTTTCAAGAGCCCCGAAGGCGATCGGCTACTCCAGGGGCGCCAGCCCGGAGTGGCTCATCTGCGTGGGCCAGAGGACCGGGCTGAGGGCTGCGAGCCCTCCAGAGCACCAGCTTGTACGAGGGGCCGGGCGGGGCGCCTTCCTGCGGCCACACTGCGCTGCTCTGTGTGACGTGCAGATTGGTGTTGGCCGTGTGGATGGCCGTGATGCCGTCAGCGGAGATGGCCGGACACATCTCAGATGGGGCCTTCCGGAAGAAAGCCGGCGCTGTCCGCTGAGGCTCGGTGGCTCCAGGCACTGGGGACCTGTCAGCGTCTGAGAAAGGCGGTGCTGCAGAGTCCAAGGAGACTCCAGCCTGGCGAGAGTAAGAGCTGGTGGGTTTGCCAGGCGGTCCAGTCGGCTCCTGGCCGGGTAGGCCCCTCATGGAGCTGTGTGGGGGCCACAGGGAAGGTGAGGGAGAGGCAGCAGCTGTGGCCGAGCCCTGCGCTCCTCCCTCCGCAGAGCCAAGGCTCGTGGATGGAGGACGGAGGACGGAGGACGGGCCCGCTCTCTACAGCGTGTGCGTGTCAGCCGCGTCGCCGAAGAGCTAAAGGAGTCCGCACTGTTGTTAGGAGACGCGTGTGCCTGCCAAGTGACCCGGAGCCCCAGGACTCAGCTCTTCGTCTGGGAACCGCCCATGGGGGCCGTGGAGCTGCAGCCTGGCTGCGATCCAAGGGACGACAGGATTCAGACCGGCCACAGCATCTTTAGCGCGACAGCTCGTGAACATGCTGGACGTGAGCCACCGCTGACATCTGTAGCATCGCTGCTCACAGACATTCTGTGTCATTTCCCCTGACCGTCCTCCACGCACGCGTGGGTCAGCGACCTTACCAGGGCCGCAGCGGGGCCACAGGTGTCACAGTGACACTGGCCTGGCACAAGCTGTTCTCCAGGACCCTTTCCTATCCTTCCTGGCAGCAGGTTCTCCAGGCTGAAAATGTACGTCATCCTGTCTCTAGACAAACTCCCCACCCCAAACCTAGCTTGGGAAGGGGCTCAGAATTGGAAAGCCTGTTGCAGCAGTTATGGCTGGTCCTCCCCAGGACCCCGTGTCCTCCCTGTCCTCCCAGGACCCCGTGTCCTCCCTGTCCTCCCCAGGACCCCGTGTCCTCCCTGTCCTCCTCCCCAGGACCCCGTGTCCTCCCTGTCCTCCTCCCCAGGACCCCGTGTCCTCCCTGTCCTCCCAGGACCCCGTGTCCTCCCTGTCCTCCTCCCCAGGACCCCGTGTCCTCCCTGTCCTCCTCCCCAGGACCCCGTGTCCTCCCTGTCCTCCTCCCCAGGACCCCGTGTCCTCCCTGTCCTCCTCCCCAGGACCCCGTGTCCTCCCTGTCCTCCCAGGACCCCGTGTCCTCCCTGTCCTCCTCCCCAGGACCCCGTGTCCTCCCTGTCCTCCCCAGGACCCCGTGTCCTCCCTGTCCTCCTCCCCAGGACCCCGTGTCCTCCCTGTCCTCCCAGGACCCCGTGTCCTCCCTGTCCTCCCAGGACCCCGTGTCCTCCCTGTCCTCCCCAGGACCCCGTGTCCTCCCTGTCCTCCTCCCCAGGACCCCGTGTCCTCCCTGTCCTCCTCCCCAGGACCCCGTGTCCTCCCTGTCCTCCCAGGACCCCGTGTCCTCCCTGTCCTCCTCCCCAGGACCCCGTGTCCTCCCTGTCCTCCTCCCCAGGACCCCGTGTCCTCCCTGTCCTCCTCCCCAGGACCCCGTGTCCTCCCTGTCCTCCTCCCCAGGACCCCGTGTCCTCCCTGTCCTCCCAGGACCCCGTGTCCTCCCTGTCCTCCTCCCCAGGACCCCGTGTCCTCCCTGTCCTCCCAGGACCCCGTGTCCTCCCTGTCCTCCCAGGACCCCGTGTCCTCCCTGTCCTCCCCAGGACCCCGTGTCCTCCCTGTCCTCCCCAGGACCCCGTGTCCTCCCTGTCCTCCTCCCCAGGACCCCGTGTCCTCCCTGTCCTCCTCCCCAGGACCCCGTGTCCTCCCTGTCCTCCCAGGACCCCGTGTCCTCCCTGTCCTCCCAGGACCCCGTGTCCTCCCTGTCCTCCTCCCCAGGACCCCGTGTCCTCCCTGTCCTCCTCCCCAGGACCCCGTGTCCTCCCTGTCCTCCCCAGGACCCGGTGTCCTCCCTGTCCTCCTCCCCAGGACCCCGTGTCCTCCCTGTCCTCCCAGGACCCCGTGTCCTCCCTGTCCTCCTCCCCAGGACCCCGTGTCCTCCCTGTCCTCCCAGGACCCCGTGTCCTCCCTGTCCTCCCCAGGACCCCGTGTCCTCCCTGTCCTCCTCCCCAGGACCCCGTGTCCTCCCTGTCCTCCCTGCTGGACCACCCTGATCCCTAGCACCCTCCTCGCAGGAGCACCCCCATTACCTCCCTCCCCGCATCCTCCTGAGTCTGGGTCTGACTGTGCTCCCGCAATGCCTCCTGAGTCTGGGTCTGACTGTGCTCCCGCAATGCCTCCCCCACAGGACATTTTAGGTGGCACTTGTGACACGTAAGAGTTATATTCAGAGACGTCAATGCTTTAAGAAGGCAAGCTCAGCATGCACCACACTCTCATAAGATCTAGGGGCTCTGCGGGAAGCAGTGGCCCCACTGTAGGAAGTTAGAACAGAGTCGCAATTACTGCCTACAAACAAGAAGCCAATGGCAGCTGTAAAGTTTTCTCTTTCCTCTATGCATTAAGTAACTTTATGTGAGTTTGCTCAGGCAGCTGAGACAATCTCAGTCTAATGAATAGTCCTGGACTCAGCCGCACATGACCGACCTGTGCTCTACAATGCAGCAAAACAGTACTAGCAAAAAGGAACATTTTAAATACATCATTTACAAACATGGAATTTTGAAAGTTGACATCTAATTCGGCCAAAGGATTAATCACAGCCAGCTTCCGAATGTACCAGGAGGAGGATTTGCTGTGGGCTGGAACAGGCTGCTAACCGGCCTGTCCGAGAGGAAAGCGAGGGAGGCTGCTGGCCCCTCAGTCTAGAACAGCTCTAGAATAGTCCAGACAAGCTCTTCTAGACGTTTGCAGTTACAGTGAAGCAAACCCAGGTGAACAAGAAAGAGGCGGTTTTCCCCATGCTTTCCCTCGGTTTACAGTCTCACATACTAGCTCTGGGCTGAGGAGTGTAGCAAATGAGGGTACAGGCCAGCACCGTGGAGGAGGGAACGGAGGGCAGGGACAGTGAGGGGATGAGGGGCAGGCAGCGTGGCCAGAGCTCCCAGGAGGGACGTCTGGGGGCCGGGCCGGAGGCCGTGGCAAGGGTGCCGGGAGGAATATTTCTCCTTGCCTAAGGTGGTGGAAGAGCGCTCATTCCTGGGGTCCAGGGGAAAGGCATGCTGACGGGGAGGTCGGGTGGATAATTCAAGGACCGAGTCTGAATACGTGGTTCCACCCATCAGGAGAGCAATGGAGCCATGCGTGCATTCACGAGGGGCTGGGCCCAGGGGAGCGAGTGATGTTCCTGCCCCTCGGGCTGGTGCAGTGCCCGGCGGGCTGCCGGAACGGGAGGAGGGCACTGGGCCTCCAGGGCAGGACGTCTCGGTGTATGTGTGTGCAGGAGGAGGAGGGCACCTGGGCCTCCAGGGCAGGCCGTCTCGGTGTGTGTGTGTGGAGGAGGGCACTGGGCCTCCAGGGCAGGACGTCTCGGTGTGTGTGTGTGGAGGAGGGCACTGGGCCTCCAGGGCCGTCTCCGTGTGTGTGTGTGGAGGAGGGCACTGGGCCTCCAGGGCCGTCTCCGTGTGTGTGTGTGGAGGAGGGCACTGGGCTTCCAGGGCAGGCCGTCTCGGTGTGTGTGTGGAGGAGGGCACTGGGTCTCCAGGGCAGGCCGTCTCGGTGTGTGTGTGTGGAGGAGGGCACTGGGCCTCCAGGGCAGGCCGTCTCGGTGTGTGTGGAGGAGGGCACTGGGCCTCCAGGGCTGTCTCCGTGTGTGTGTGTGGAGGAGGGCACTGGGCCTCCAGGGCAGGCCGTCTCGGTGTGTGTGGAGGAGGGCACTGGGCCTCCAGGGCCGTCTCCGTGTGTGTGTGTGGAGGAGGGCACTGGGCCTCCAGGGCTGTCTCCGTGTGTGTGTGTGGAGGAGGGCACTGGGCTTCCAGGGCAGGCCGTCTCGGTGTGTGTGTGGAGGAGGGCACTGGGTCTCCAGGGCCGTCTCGGTGTGTGTGGAGGAGGGCACTGGGTCTCCAGGGCAGGCCGTCTCGGTGTGTGTGTGTGGAGGAGGGCACTGGGTCTCCAGGGCAGGCCATCTTGGTGTGTGTGGAGGAGGGCACTGGGTCTGCAGGGCAGGCCGTCTCTGTGTGTGTGGAGGAGGGCACTGGGCCTCCAGGGCAGGCCGTCTCGGTGTGTGTGGAGGAGGGCACTGGGCCTCCAGGGCAGGACGTCTCTGTGTGTGTGGAGGAGGGCACTGGGCTTCCAGGGCCGTCTCGGTGTGTGTGTGTGGAGGAGGGCACTGGGCCTCCAGGGCAGGCCGTCTCGGTGTGTGTGGAGGAGGGCACTGGGTCTCCAGGGCCGTCTCGGTGTGTGTGGAGGAGGGCACTGGGCTTCCAGGGCAGGCCGTCTCAGTGTGTGTGTGTGGAGGAGGGCACCGGGTCTCCAGGGCCGTCTCGGTGTGTGTGGAGGAGGGCACTGGGTCTGCAGGGCAGGCCGTCTCTGTGTGTGGAGGAGGGCACTGGGCCCCCAGGGCAGGCCGTCTCGGTGTGTGTGGAGGAGGGCACTGGGTCTCCAGGGCCGTCTCGGTGTGTGTGTGTGGAGGAGGGCACTGGGTCTGCAGGGCCATCTCGATGTGTGTGTGTGGAGGAGGGCACTGGGTCTCCAGGGCCGTCTCGGTGTGTGTGTGTGGAGGAGGGCACTGGGTCTCCAGGGCAGGCCGTCTCGGTGTGTGTGTGTGGAGGAGGGCACTGGGTCTCCAGGGCCGTCTCGGTGTGTGTGTGTGGAGGAGGGCACTGGGTCTCCAGGGCCGTCTCGGTGTGTGTGTGTGGAGGAGGGCACTGGGTCTCCAGGGCCGTCTCGGTGTGTGTGGAGGAGGGCACTGGGTCTGCAGGGCAGGCCGTCTCTGTGTGTGTGGAGGAGGGCACTGGGCCCCCAGGGCAGGCCGTCTCGGTGTGTGTGGAGGAGGGCACTGGGTCTCCAGGGCCGTCTCGGTGTGTGTGGAGGAGGGCACTGGGTCTCCAGGGCAGGCCGTCTCGGTGTGTGTGTGTGGAGGAGGGCACTGGGTCTCCAGGGCCGTCTCGGTGTGTGTGTGTGGAGGAGGGCACTGGGTCTCCAGGGCCGTCTTGGTGTGTGTGGAGGAGGGCACTGGGTCTGCAGGGCAGGCCGTCTCTGTGTGTGTGGAGGAGGGCACTGGGCCCCCAGGGCAGGCCGTCTCGGTGTGTGTGGAGGAGGGCACTGGGTCTCCAGGGCCGTCTCGGTGTGTGTGTGTGGAGGAGGGCACTGGGTCTCCAGGGCAGGCCGTCTCGGTGTGTGTGTGTGTGGAGGAGGGCACTGGGTCTCCAGGGCTGTCTCGGTGTGTGTGTGTGGAGGAGGGCACTGGGTCTCCAGGGCCGTCTCTGTGTGTGTGGAGGAGGGCACTGGGCCCCCAGGGCAGGCCTGGAGACCCACCTCTCGGTGTGTGTCCCATACCTGTTGTTGCAGGCACCCGTGATAAGCCGGTACTTGTTCGCCAGGCAGGTGTTGGGACACGTTGGTGGCAGCATGTAAGGTAAGCAGCCAGACAGATTGGCAATCACGCTCAGGAGCTCCTCTGATAAGACATCTGAGCAACAAATAACAGGCCATAAACTCCCCAGTTGCAGAGACCGATCTACCTAATAATAAAGGCAGGCTCCGCCTCTGGGTGGTTTCCCGGGGATCCCCTCACCCGTGGGGAGACCCTGCCTCTCCTGTGTTGATCCCCTGAGCTCCCTGGTTGCTAGGGATGTGGAGGTGCTGCTCTGTTTTGGCCTGTGCTCTTTCAGAATGGCATGCTAGCAGGTCTGAGTCTCAGGGAGACAAGCCAGCCAGCCACCAGTGTCCCGCAGGGCATTCCTGCCCCTTCACCCCTGCTCAGTGAGCTGTCCTTGTCCCAAAGTGACGTGCTCCTTCCTAAGACACTGCTAGCATGGCACCCAGCACCCCAAACTCTGCTTGGTCGGGGTTGCTAAGAGTATTCACACAGACAAAAACCCCTTCATATTCCTCTTTTATTCATCCTTCGGTCCTCTTTCCCGCAACTCTAACTTTGATTTACCAGTTTTATCCACATTTGTGTTACTCAAGAAAGCAAAATAAGACTGTTCTGTAGCCACTTAGTAGAAGGAATCGTCACCAGATACCCAAGACAGCTTATATGTCTTTGAGGACAATGCCACAAAATTCTGATTACAAGGGATATCGAAGTAGTCACTAAAAGACCCAGGAAGAAATAAATTCCATTTTCAAATAGAAGAGAAACAAAACAAGACTCTTAATAGAGAATGTTCCCTCAGAGGAACATTTGAACAAGCTTAAACTACAATTCACGTTCTGCTAACAAAGGAACATACATCCCATATATGCCGGATCACAGCAGTGTCCTTCAAAGTAGCTGTGTGACCATAGCTGTTAGTCAATGGAGCAAATGCTCAGAAACATCCAGAAGGAGGGGCTGACATCCAACAGTCATGGTTCTCTGTGAGCTGATGGACAGGGACTGTGACTTCCTGTCCAAGGAGCGATGGACAGGAAGTCAACGGACCCTTTTATTCACATTCCAAATGCTCTACATTATTTGGTGATATTTATGATGGAAATAACCTAAGAACACCCTACAGTGTGAGATCCTGACTCTATATTGTGGCCTGGGCCAAACACACTATCCTGTTGTCCCTAGGAGCCTGCACCCGGGAAAGGGGCTAGTACCACAGAAGCACAGGCAGGGACCCACATCCTGTACCACTGTACTGGGACACAGAGTGTTCACCCTTGTAGTGAGGTCCCAGGTGTTCACCTGTGTGGTGGTGAGGTCCTGTGTGTTCACCTGTGTGGTGGTGTGATTCAGGTGTTCACCTGTGTGGTGGTGTGATTCAGGTGTTCACCTGTATGGAGGTGTGATTCAGGGTGCTCACCTGTGTGGTGGTGTGATTCAGGTGTTGACCTGTGTGGTGGTATGATTCAGGTGTTCACCTGTGTGGTGGTGTGATTCAGGTGTTGACCTGTGTGGTGGTATGATTCAGGTGTTCACCTGTGTAGAGATGTGATTCAGAGTATTCACCTGTGTGGAGGTGTGAATCAGGTGTTCATATGTGTGGTGGTGTGATTCAGGGTGCTTACCTGTGTGGTGGTGTGATTCAGGTATTGACCTGTGTGGATGTGTGATTCAGGTTGTTCACCTGTGTGGTGGTGTGATTCAGGTTGTTCACCTGTGTGGTGGGGGGATTCAGGGTGTTCACATGTGTGGTGGTGGGATGCAGGGTGTTCAACTGTGTGGAGGTGTGATTCAGGGTGTTCACCTGTGTGAAGGTGTGATTCAGGGTGTTCACCTGTGTGGTGGTGTGATTCAAGTGTTCACCTGTGTGGAGGTGTGATTCAGGGTGCTTACCTGTGTGGTGGTATGATTCAGGTGTTGACCTGTGTGGTGGTAGGATTCAGGTGTTCACTTATATAGAGGTGTGATTCACAGTGTTCACCAGTGTGGAGGTGGGATTCAGGTGTTCATCTGTGTGGGTGTGATTCTGGGTGCTCACCTGTGTGGTAGTGGGATGCAGGGTGTTCACCTGTGTGGTTGTGGGATTCAGGTTGTTCACCTGTGTGGTGATGAGATTCAGGGTAGTCATGTGTGGATATTTGATTCAGATGTTCACCTGTGTGGTGGTGGGATTCAGGTGTACACCTGTGTGGTGGTGGGATTCAGGGTAGTCACCTGTGTGGAGGTGTGATTCAGGATGTTCACCTGTGTGGTAGTAGGATTCGGGTGTACACTTGTGTGGAGGTGTGATTCAGGGTGCTCACCTGTGTGGTGATATGATTCAGGTGTTGACCTGTGTGGTGGTAGGATTCAGGTGTTCACCTATATAGAGGTGTGATTCAGAGTGTTCACGAGTGTGGAGGTGTGATTCAGGGTATTTACCTGTGTGGAGGTGTGATTCAGGGTGTTCACCTGTGTGTTAGTAGGATTAGGGTGTTCACATGTGTGGAGGTGTGATTCAGGTGTTCTGTGAGGTGGTATGATCAGGTGTTCACCTGTGTGGTGGTGTGATTCAGGGTGTTCACCTGTGTGGTGGTGGGATGCAGGGTGTTCACCTGTGTGGTAGTGAGATTCAGGGTAGTCATTTGTTGTGGTGTGATTCAGGTGTTCACCTGTGTGGTGGTGGGATTCAGGTGTTCATCTGTGTGGGTGTGATTCTGGGTGCTCACCTGTGTGGTGGTGGGATTCAGGTGTTCACCTGTGTGGTGGTGTGATTCAGAGTGTTCACCTGTGTGGAGGTGTGATGCAGATGTTCACCTGTGTGGTAGTAGGATTAGGGTGCTTACTTGTGTGGAGGTGTGATTAAGGTGTTCTCCTGTGTGGTGGTGGGATTCAGCGTGTTCACCTGTGTGGTGGTGGGATGCAGGGTGTTGACCTGTGTGGTGGTGAGCTTCAGGGTAGTCATGTGTGGTGGTGTGATTCAAGTGTTCACCTGTGTGGTGGTATGGTTCAAGTGTTCATGTGTGTGGAGGTGGGATTCAGGGTGCTCACCTGTGTGGTGGTATGATTCAGGTGTTGACCTGTGTGGTGGTGGGATTCAGCTGTTCACCTATATAGAGGTGTGATTCAGAGTGTTCACCAGTGTGGAGGTGTGCTTCAGGTGTTCATCTGTGTGGTGGTGTGATTCTGGGTGCTCACCTGTGTGGTGGTGGGATTCAGGTGTTCACCTGTGAGGTGGTGTGATTCAGGATATTCACCTGTGTAGAGGTGTGATTCAGGGTGTTCACTTGTGTGGTGGTGGGATTCAGGGTGTTGACCTGTGTGGTGGTGAGCTTCAGGGTAGTCATGTGTGGTGATGTGATTCAGGTGTTCACCTGTGTGGTGGTATGGTTCAAGTGTTCACCTGTGTGGAGGTGTGATTCAGGGTGCTCACCTGTGTGGTGGTGTGATTCTGGGTGCTCACCTGTGTGGTGGTGGGATTCAGGTGTTCACCTGTGTGGTGGTGTGATTCAGGGTATTCACCTGTGTGGAGGTGTGATTCAGGGTGTTAACCTGTGTGTTAGTAGGATTAGGGTGTTCACATGTGTGGAGGTGTGATTCAGGTGTTCTGTGAGATGGTGTGATCAGGTGTTCACCTGTGTGGTGGTGGGATTCAGGTATTCACCTATATAGAGGTGTGATTCACAGTGTTCACCAGTGTGGAGGTGGGATTCAGGTGTTCATCTGTGTGGGTGTAATTCTGGGTGCTCACCTATGTGGTGGTGTGATTCAGGTGTTTACCTGTGTGGTGGTGTGATTCAGGGTATTCACTTGTGTGGAGGTGTGATTCAGGGTGTTCACCTGTGTGGTAGTAGGATTAGGGTGCTTATTTGTGTGGAGGTGGGATTAAGGTGTTCTCCTGTGTGGAGGTGTGATGCAGGTGTTCACCTGTGTGGTGGTGTGATTCAGGTTTTCACCTGTGTGGAGGTGTGATTCAGGGTGCTCACCTGTGTGGTGGTATGATTCAGGTGTTGACCTGTGTGGTGGTGGGATTCAGCTGTTCACCTATATAGAAGTGTGATTCAGGGTGTTCACCTATGTGGTAGTAGGGTTAGGGTGTTTACTTGTGTGGAAGTGTGATTCTGGTGTTCTCCTGTTTGGTGGTGGGATTCAGGGTGTTCACTTGTGTGGTGGTGTGATTTAGGGTGTTCACCTGTGTGGTGGTGGGATGCAGGGTGTTCACCTGTGTGGTGGTGGGATTCAGGGTGTTCACCTTTGTGGTGGTGAGATTCCGGATGGTCATGTGTGGTGGTGTGATTCAGGTGTTCACCTGTGTGGTGGTGTGATTCAGGTTTCACCTGTGTGGAGGTGGGATTCAGGGTGCTCACCGGTGTGGTGGTATGATTCAGGTGTTGACCTGTGTGGTGGTGGGATTCAGGTGTTCACCTATATAGAGGTGTGATTCAGAGTATTCACCAGTGTGGAGGTGTGATTCAGGTGTTCATCTGTGTGGTGGTGTGATTCTGGGTGCTCACCTGTGTGGTGGTGGGATTCAGGTGTTCACCTGTTTTGAGGTGTGATTCAGGGTTCTCACCTGTGTGGTGGTGTGATTCAGGCTGTTCACCTGTGTGGTGGTGTGATTCAGGTTTTCACCTGTGTGTATTTGTGATTCAGGTGCTCACCTGTGTGGTGGTATGATTCAGGTGTGGACCTGTGTGGTGGTGGGATTCAGGTGTTCACCTATATAGAGGTGTGATTCAGAGTATTCACCAGTGTGGAGGTGTAATTCAGGTGTTCATCTGTGTGGTGGTGTGATTCAGGGTGCTCACCTGTGTGGTGGTGGGATTCAGGTGTTCACCTGTGTGGTGGTGTGATTCAGGGTATTCTCCTGTGTGGCGGTGTGATTCAGGATGTTCACCTGTGTGGTAGTAAGATTCGGGTGTTCACTTGTGTGGAGGAATGACTCAGAGTGTTCACCTGTGTTGAGGTGTGATTCAGGGTTCTCACCTGTGTGGTGGTGTGATTCAGGATGTTCACCTATGTGGTGGTGTGATTCAGGTTTTCACCTGTGTGTAGGTGTGATTCAGGGTGCTTACCTGTGTGGTGGTATGATTCAGGTGTTGACCTGTGTGGTGGTGGGATTCAGGTGTTCACCTATATAGAGGTGGGATTTAGAGTGTTCACCAGTGTGGAGGTGTGATTCAGGTGTTCATCTGTGTGGTGGTGTGATTCTGGGTGCTCACCTGTATGGTGGTGGGATTCAGGTGTTCACCTTTGTGGTGGTGTGATTCAGGGTATTCAATTGTGTGGAGGTGTGATTCAGGGTGTTCCACTGTGTGGTAGTAGGATTAGGGTGTTTACTTGTGTGGAGGTGTGATTCAGGTGTTCTCCTGTGTGGTGGTGTGATTCAGGTGTTCACCTGTGTGGTGGTGGGATGCAGGCTGCTCACCTGTGTGGTGGTGGGATGCAGGGTATTCACCTGTGTGGTGGTGGGATTCAGGGTGTTCACCTGTGTGGTGGTGTGATCAGGTGTTCACCTGTGTGGTGGTGGGATTCTGGGTGTTCACCTGTGTGGTGGTGGGATTCAGGATGTTGACCTGTGTGGTGGTGGGATTCAGGGTGTTCACCTGTGTGGAGGTGTGATTCAGGTGTTCACCTGTGTGGTGGTGTGATTTAGGGTATTCACCTGTGTGGAGGTGTGATTCAGGGTGCTCACCTGTGTGGTGGTGTGATTCAGGTGTTGACCTGTGTGGTGGTCTGATTCAGGTGTTGACCTGTGTGGTGGTGGGATTCAGGTGTTCATCTGTGTGGTGGTGTGATTCTGGGTGCTCACCTGTGTGGTGGTGGGATTCAGGTGTTCACCTGTGTGGTGGTGTGATTCAGGGTATTCACCTGTGTGGTAGTAGGATTAGGGTGTTCACTTGTGTGGATATTTGATTCAGGTGTTGACCTGTGTGGTGGTGGGATTCAGGGTGTTCACCTGTGTGGTGGTGAGCTTCAGTGTAGTTATGTGTGGTGGTGTGATTCAGATGTTCACCTGTGTGGTTGTGGGATTCAGGGTGTTTACCTGTGTGGTGGTGAGATTCAGGGTAGTCATGTGTGGTGGTGTGATTCAGGTGTTCACCTGTGTGGTGGTATGATTCAGGTGTTCACCTGTGTGGAGGTGTGATTCAGGTGTTCATCTGTGGGGTGGTGTGATTCCGGGTGCTCATCTGTGTGGTGGTGGGATTCAGGTGTTCACCTGTGTGGTGGTATGATTCAGGGTATTCACCTGTGTGGTGATGGGATGCAGGGTGTTCACCTGTGTGGTTGTGAGATTCCGGTGGTCATTTGTGGTGGTGTGAATCAAGTGTTCCCTTGTGTGTTGGTGTGATTCAGATTTTCAAGTGTGTGGAGGTGTGATTCAGGGTGCTCACCTGTATGGTGGTGTGATTTGGTGTTTATATGTGTGGTGGTGTGATTCCAGGTGTTCACCTGTGTGGTGGTGTGATTCAGGGTATTCACTTGTGTGGATGTGTGATTCAGGATGTTCACCTGTGTGGTAGTAGGATTCGGGTGTTCACTTATGTGGAGGTGTGATTCAGGTGTTCTCCTGTGTGGTGGTGTTATTCAGGTGTTCATCTGTGTGGTGGTGGGATGCAGGGTGTTCTTCTGTGTGGTAGTGGGATTCAGGATGTTCATCTGTGTAGTGGTGAGATTCCGGTGGTCATGTGTGGTGGTGTGATTCAGGTGTTCACCTGTGTAGAGGTTTGATTCAGAGTGTTCATCTGTGTGGAGGTGTGATTCAGGTGTTCACCTGTGTGGTGGTGTGATTCTGGTTTTCACCTGTGTGGAGGTGTGATTCAGGATGCTCACCTGTGTGGTGGTATGATTCAGGTGTTGACCTTTGTGGTGGTGGGATTCAGGTGTTCACCTGTGTGGTGGTGTGATTCAGGGTATTCACCTGTGTGGTAGTAGTATTAGGGTGTTCACTTCTGTGGAGGTGTAATTCAGGTGTTCTGTGTGGTGGTGTGATCAGGTGTTCACCTGTGTGGTGGTGGGATTCAGGGTGTTCACCTGTGTGGTGGTGGGATTCAGGGTGTTCACCTGTGTGGTGGTGGGGTGGGATTCAGGGTGTTCACCTGTGTTGTGGTGGGATTCAGGGTAGTCATGTGTGGTGGTGTGATTCAGGTGTTCACCTCTGTGGTGGTATGATTCCCATGTTCACCTGTATGGAGGTGTAATTCAGGCTGCTCACCTGTGTGGTGGTGTGATTCAGGTGTTGACCTGTGTGGTGGTGTGATTCAGGTGTTCACCTGTGTGGTGGTGTGATTCAGGGTATTCACTTGTGTGGAGGTGTCATTCAGGATGTTCACCTGTGTGGTAGTAGGATTGGGGTGTTCACTTGTGTGGAGGTGTGATTCAGGTGTTCTCCTGTGTGGTGGTGGGATGCAGGGTGTTCACCTGTGTGGTGGTGGGATTCTGGGTATTCACCTGTGTGGTGGTGGGATTCGGGGTGTTGACCTGTGTGGTCGTGAGATTCAGGGTAGTCTTGTGTGGTGGTGTGATTCAGGTGTTGACCTGTGTGGTGGTATGGTTGAGGTGTTCACCTGTGTTGAGGTGTGATTCAGGGTGCTAACCTGTGTGGTGGTGTGATTCAGGTGTTGACCTGTGTGGTGGTAGGATTCAGGTGTTCACCTGTGTAGAGGTTTGATTCAGAGTGTTCAACTGTATGGAGGTGTAATTCAGGTGTTCATCTGTGTGGTGGTGTGATTCCAGGTGCTCACCTGTGTGGTGGTGGGAATCAGGGTTCACCTGTGTGGTGGTGGGATTCAGGGTGTTCACCTGTGTGGTGGTGGGATTCAGGTTTTCACCTGTGTGGTGGTGTGATTCAGGTATTCACCTGTGTGGTGGTGTGATTCAGGTATTCACGTGTGTGGTGGTGGGATTCAAGTTGTTCACCTGTGTGATGGTGAGATTCAGGGTGGTCATGTGTGCTGGTGGGATTCAGGTGTTTACCTGTGTGGTGGTGTGTTTCAGATGTTCGCCTGTGTGGTCGTGTGATTCAGGTATTCACATGTGTGGTGGTGGGATTCAGGATGTTTTCCTGTGTAGTGGTATATTTCAGATGTTCACCTGTGTGTGGTGTAATTCCTGTGTTCTCCTGTGTGGTGGTGTGATTCAGGGTGTTCTCCTGTGTGGTAGTATGATTTAGGTGTTCACCTGTGTGGTGGTGGGGTCCTGTGTGTTCACTTGTACGGTGGTGTGATTCAGGGTGTTCACCTGTGTTGTGGTGTGATTCAGGGTGTTCTCCCATGTGGTGGTGTGATGCAGGGTGTTTACATGTAGTGGTGTGATTCAGCGTGTTCACCTGTGTGGTGGTGTGATTCAGTTGTTCACCTGTGTGGTGGTGTGATTCATTGTGTTCACTTGTGTGGTGGTGGGGTCATGTGTATTTACCTGTATGGTGGTGTGATTCAGGTGTTCACCTGTGTGGTAGTGTAATTCAGGTGTTCACCTGTGTAGTGTTGGGATGCAGGGTGTTCACCTATGTGGTGGTGTGATTCAGTGTGTTTACCTGTGTGGTGGTGGGGTCCTGTGTGTTCACCTGTATGGTGGTGTGATTCAGGTATTCACATGTGTGGTGGTGGGATTCAGGTTGTTTACCTGTGTGGTGGTGAGATTCAGGGTGGTCATGTGTGCTGGTGGGATTCAGGTGTTTACCTGTGTGGTGGTGTTTCAGATGTTCGCCTGTGTGGTCGTGTGATTCAGGGTGTTCTCCCGTGTGGTAGTATGATTTAGGTGTTCACCTGTGTGGTGGTGGGTTCCTGTGTGTTCACCTGTATGGTGGTGTGATTCAGGGTGTTCACCTGTGTTGTGGTGTGATTCAGGTGTTCACTTGTGTGGTAGTGGGATTCAGGTGTTCACCTCTGTGGGGGTGTGATTCAGGGTTTTCACCTGTGGTGGTGGGGTTCTGTGTGTTCACCTGTGTAGTGGTGTGGTTCAGGGTGTTCACCTCTGTGGGGGTGTGATTCAGGTGTTCACTTGTGTGGTGGTGGGATTCAGGGCATTCACCTCTGTGTGGGTGGGGTCCTGTGTGTTCACCTGTGTGGTGGTGTGATTCAGGTGTTCACCTGTGTGGTGGTGTGATTCAGGTGTTCGCCTGTGTGGTGCTGGGGTTCTGTGTGTTCGCCTGTGTGGTGCTGGGGTTCTGTGTGTTCGCCTGTGTGGTGCTGGGGTTCTGTGTGTTCGCCTGTGTGGTGCTGGGGTTCTGTGTGTTCGCCTGTGTGGTGCTGGGGTTCTGTGTGTTCGCCTGTGTGGTGCTGGGGTTCTGTGTGTTCGCCTGTGTGGTGCTGGGGTTCTGTGTGTTCGCCTGTGTGGTGCTGGGGTTCTGTGTGTTCGCCTGTGTGGTGCTGGGGTTCTGTGTGTTCGCCTGTGTGGTGCTGGGGTTCTGTGTGTTCGCCTGTGTGGTTCTGGGGTTCTGTGTTCGCCTGTGTGGTGCTGGGGTTCTGTGTGTTCGCCTGTGTGGTGCTGGGGTTCTGTGTATTCGCCTGTGTGGTGCTAGGGTTCTGTGTGTTCGCCTGGGTGGTGCTGGGGTTCTGTGTGTTCGCCTGTGTGGTGCTGGGGTTCTGTGTGTTCGCCTGTGTGGTGCTGGGGTTCTGTGTGTTCGCCTGTGTGGTGGTGTGATTCAGGTGTTCACCTGTGTGGTGCTGGGGTTCTGTGTGTTCGCCTGTGTGGTGGTGGGATTCAGGTGTTCACCTGTGTGGTGGTGTGATTCAGGTGTTCGCCTGTGTGGTGCTGGGGTTCTGTGTGTTCGCCTGTGTGGTGCTGGGGTTCTGTGTGTTCGCCTGTGTGGTGCTGGGGTTCTGTGTGTTCGCCTGTGTGGTGCTGGGGTTCTGTGTGTTCGCCTGTGTAGTGCTGGGGTTCTGTGTGTTCGCCTGTGTGGTGCTGGGGTTCTGTGTGTTCGCCTGTGTGGTGCTGGGGTTCTGTGTGTTCGCCTGTGTGGTGCTGGGGTTCTGTGTGTTCGCCTGTGTGGTGCTGGGGTCCGGGGCTTTTACCTGTGGGCCATGAAGGTTGACGTTTCATCACTTGTATGGAAGTTTCCATGATCTCAGCTGCGTGGGAAACAGTCCTGCTAGTTGGCTCAGGCATCTTGGAGAGGGCCAGCAGCTGAGATGGGGAAGTGGCTTCCCTTTTCCTGAGGTTTCTACAGCAGAAGGAGAAGATACGTCTTGTTGTTGATGCTCTGGTAGCTGATTACCCATTAACCGTCTCGGCTGCAGGACTCCAGGACTCCTGGGGCGAGAAAAGGGGGTGTGAATAGTGCATCACTGCTGGGGGTGAAGGAAGTGGCCGGTGTTCTCCCTTTACGAGGCCTCGGCAGCCGCACTCATCCGATTCTCCTTGGAGTTCTCTTACTCTTCTGAGAAATCCAGTCTGTCTCCACCATAGATGGTGAGAATGGGAGAAGGGCTCTGTATCTTTGCCAGTCTCAGTGGCAGCAGCTATGGAGCCATCAAGTGACCCAGGGGTCATCCTGCTGTGGGTCAGGGGTCAGCCCGCTGCAGCCCCAGATGGCTGGGCATGCCTGCCAGTCCCACCTCACCGCAGCACCCCCTCATCCTGTCATGGGGCACGGGCCCCTCTCTGTCCCCAGCAGCAGCCATGGGGCCGGGCTGTAACGTACGGACTGTGCGGCAGGGGAGAGGCACGCAGAGAGCCGTCGTTGGGCTTCGTCTGTTCTGAGGCTAGGGAGGCTCCGCTTCCTCAGGCGGCCAAGGTCCTGGCCAGGTCCGGGTGATTTGCGTCTGCTTACCCTTCACTGGGGTCTGCATGGCCCAGGGCGCTCACCCCCACCCCTTCTCCCGTGTGCTCTCCCCGCCCTCCCCCCTTCTCCCAGAGCCGTGTTCTACCCGCACACCCACGCCCCCCTTCCTGCTGCCACCGAGACGCTGGTGCGGGCACAGCCGTCCAGCAGGGACACCCTCACTGGGTTCACACGAAGTCTTTGAGGGATGAGGAGGAGAGGGCAAGCACGGGGAGGGCCAGGAAGCAGCCTGTGTGAGGGTGGGCGCCCCGAGGGCCCATTTCCCACAGGCTCAGGGCTGCAGGGCACAGGTGCTCCAGACTGTCTTCTAAGGGTGATACTTGGCGTTGTGAAGTTTGAGTGACAGCCAGCCTTGTCTGACAGACTGCTCTTCCCCTGGACGTCACTCTTGTCCACTCCCAGGACAGCCGGCCACGTGCTCATGCCGTCCTGACAGAGGGGCTCAGCTGTGGTCCCCTCTGTCCTGTGCTTTGCTCTCTGGGCACCAGGCACCAATGGAGAACACTGGCTATGACTAGAGGGCAAAGGCCTCTGTGCCGGCCTAGGGTTCCAGAATTTGCTGTCAAAGCCCAGAAAGCTAAGTTGCCAGCATGTGGGCAGGGTGGAATCTCAGAACCCCCGGAGAGCTTCGGGGCAGGAAGGCCCGGCCCTGCCATGACCTTCGGGGCCAGGGTCCTGCCGTGACCTTCGGGCAAGAAGGCCCGGCCCTCTGCATGTTGAGGAGTCCCCATGCAACGCCAGTCCCCGCGGGAGTGCAGCGAAGGACTTAGCCCTCACTTGGACATCATGACTGTTGAGATAAGCGTCTCCCCTTTTTTGTGGTAAAGTGACTAGATTTGTTTAGCGGCATAAAACATTTTATGGTTAGGAAACACGTTACCCACCAACACGCCAACCCTAGCCCTTTCCCAAACTAGCACAACACCCATGTCATTATTGGCACAAGGAGAGAGAACTTCCAAGGTAGTGGACACAAATTCATCTCTGCATTCCCAACATTTACTCCGGGCCTTCCACACAGTGGGAACAGAATTAAGGAAATCAATATAGTCTTAGAGGATATTGCTCAGGAGCTACCAAGAAGCAAACTTTCCAGATTAATATACGTATGCATCCCCTCCTCCTCACTCCTGAGTGCCGTCTTTAGGACTGAGACATATTTCAGAAGGCCTAGAAACTGAAGGTGGACTGCGTTTACATCTATGGTCTTTCTCTCTTCTCAGGTAATTCCCACCCATTTCAGATCACATCAATTCAAAATACACATCAATTCATGGGGGATATTTTTTTGTTTCTTTTTTATTTGTTTTTAGATACAGCACAATTCTGTAGCTAACATTGACAGTAGAGTGTTTGCTGTTTGGAATAATAGAAATTTGGAAGGAGTCAGCAACTGTCTTATGACAGTTTGCACCTTGAAAAATGACATATTTTTGCTTAACTTTCAACATAATGATAAGCTTGTGAAAATGATCCCTGCTTAGTGATTTTGGTTTCTGTACTTTATTTTCTGTATATGTAATATGAGGCCATGATACTTACTATTGACATTGGTGCCTGTCATGCATTGAAAATTAAGGTTCCTGTTAATTATTATTTAAATTAGTGTTTAAAATGAAGAACTCCCAGTTCACATTTACTGATCCCCAGGTCTCAGGATTGACCGTCCACCTGCACAGATCCTTAGTTCTCAGGATTGACCATCTACCTCTACAGATCCCCAGTTCTCAGGACTGACTGTCCATCTCTACTGATCCCCAGTTCTCAGGATTGAACATCCACTTCTACAGATGCCCAGTTCTCAGGACTGACCATCCACCTCCACAGATGCCCAGTTCTCAGGACTGACCATCTACCTCCACATATGCCCAGTTCTCAGGACTGACCATCTACCTCCACAGATGCCCAGTTCACAGGACTGACCTTCCACCTCTGCAGATCCCCCAGGTCTCAGGACTGACCATCCACCCCTACAGATCCTCAGTTCTCAGAACTGATTGTCCACCTCCACAGATCCTTAGATCTCAGGACTGACCATCCACCTCTGCAGATTCTTAGTTCTCAGGAATAACCATCTACCTTTACAGATCCTCAGTTCTCAGGACTGACCGTCCACCTCTACAGATCCCCCATTTCTCAGAACTTACCATCCACTCCTACAGATCCCTAGTCCTCAGGACTGACCATCCACCTGTACAGATCCCCAGTTCTCAGGACTGACCGTTCACCTCTACAGGTTCCGAGTTCTCAGCACTGACTGTCCACCTCTACAGATCCTCAGTTCTCAGAACTGATTGTCCACCTCCACAGATCCTTAGATCTCAGGACTGACCATCCACCTCTGCAGATTCTTAGTTCTCAGGAATAACCATCCACCTTTACAGATCCTCAGTTCTCAGGACTGACCGTCCACCTCTACAGATCCCCCATTTCTCAGAACTTACCATCCACTCCTACAGATCCCTAGTCCTCAGGACTGACCATCCACCTGTACAGATCCCCAGTTCTCAGGACTGACCGTTCACCTCTACAGGTTCCGAGTTCTCAGCACTGACTGTCCACCTCTACAGATCCTCAGTTGTCAGGACTTCCCGTCCACCTGTAGAGATGCCTAGTTCTCAGGACTGACCATCTACCTCCACAGATTCTCAGTTTTCATGACTGACTATCCACCTCAGATCCTTTGTTCTCAGGACTGACCGTCACCTTTACAAATCCTTAGTTCTCAGGACAGTTGACCACTACAGATCCCCAGTTCTCAGGACTGACCATCCACCCCTACAGATTCCTAGTTCTCACAACTGATCATCCACCCCTACACTCAGTTGTCAGGACTGACCGTCGACCTGTACAGATCCTTAGTTCTCAGGACTGAATAGCCACCTCTACATTCTCAGTTCTCATGACTGACTGTCTACCTCTACAGATCCCCAGTTCTCAGGACTGACCACATACCTCTACAGATTCCTAGTTCACACGACTGACCATCCACCCCTACACTCCTCAGTTCTCAGAACTGACCATCCACCTGTACAGATCCTTATTTCTCAGGACTGACCGGCGACCACTATACATTCTCAGTTCTCATGACTGACAGTCCATCTCTACAGATCCTCAGTTCTCAGCCTGACCATCTAACTCTACAGCACCCCAGTTCTCAGGACTGACTGTCCATCTCTACCAGATTCTCAGTTCTCAGACCTGACCACCCACCTCTACAGAGCCCCAGTTCTCAGGACTGACCTTCTACTTCTACAGGTCCCCAGTTCATAAGACTGACTATCCAGCTCTATAGATCCTCAGTTGTCAGGACACCCTGTGCACTGGTAGAGATGCTCATTTCTCAGGACTGTCCGTCCACCTCTACAGATTCTCAGTGGACTGACTGTCCACTCCTCAGATCCCCAGTTCTCAGAACTGACCGTCCACCTCTATAGATCCTCAGTTCTCAGGACTCACTGTCCACCTCTACAGATCCCCAGTTCTCAGTACTGACCATCAACCCCTACACTCCTCAGTTCTCAGAACTAACCATCCACCTATACAGATCCTTATTTCTCAGGACTGACCGGCAACCACTATACATTCTCAGTTCTCATGACTGACAGTCCATCTCTACAGACCCTCAGTTCTCAGACCTGACCATCCAACTCTACAGATCCCGAGTTCTCAGGACTGACCGTCCACCTCCACAGATTATCAGTTTTCATGACTGACTGTCCACCTCCTCAGATCCTTTGTTCTCAGGACTGACCATCCACCTTTACAAATCCTTAGTTCTCAGGACAGACAGTTCACCACTACAGATCCCCAGTACTCAGGACTGACCGTCCACCTTTACAGATCCCCAGTTCTCAGGACTGACCATCCACCTGTACAGATCCTTATTTCTCAGGACTGACCGGTGACCAATATACATTCTCAGTTCTCATGACTGACAGTCCATCTCTACAGATCCTCAGTTCTCAGCTTGACCATCCACCTCTAGAGATTCTCAGTTATCAGACCTGACCATCCAACTCTACAGATCCCGAGTTCTCAGGAATGATCGTCCACCTCTACAGGTCCCCAGTTCTCAGTACTGACTCCCCACCTCCACAGATCCGCAATTTGCAGGATTAACCTTCCACTTCTACAGGTCTCCTGTTTCTCAGAACTTACCCTCCAACTCTACAGATCCTCAGTTCTCAGGATTTATTCTCTCCCTCCGCAGATCTCCAGTTTTCAGGACTGACCATCCACCTCTACAGGTTCCCAGTTTTCAGGACTGATCTTCCACCTCTATATTCTCAGTTCTCAGAACTGTCCGTCCACATGTACCTATCCCCAGTACTCAGGACTGACCTTCCAACTCTACAGCTCCCCCAGTTCTCAGGACTCCCCTTTGACCTCTACAAACCCCAGTTCTCAGGACTGAGCGTCCACTCCTACAGCTCCTTAGTTCTCAGGAGTAACTGTCCAACTCTACAGCTCCCAGTTCTCAGAACTGACCATCCACCTCTACACATTCTCAGTTCTCAGGACTGACCATCCACCTCTAGAGATCCCAATTCTCAGGACTGACCATCCACTTCTACATAACATCAGTTCTCAGGATTGATGGCCAACCCTAGAGATCCCCAGTTCTCAGGACAGACCGTCCACCTCTACAGATCCTCAGTTTTCAGGGCTGATCATCCACCTCTACAGCTCCTTAGTTCTCAGGACTGATTGTCCCCCTTTAAAAATCCTTAGTTTTCAGGACTGTCTACCTCCACAGATTCTTAGTTCTCAGGACTGACCATCCACCTCTATAGGTCCTCTGTTCAAAGTACTGACTGTCCACCTTTATAGATCCGCAGTTCTCAGGACAGACCTTCCACCTCTACAGATCCTCAGTTCTCAGGATTTACTCTCCACCTCCACAGATCTCCAGTTCTCAGTCTGAATGTCCACCCCTGCAGGTTCCCAGTTCTCAGTACCGACCATCCACCTCTACATATCCTCAGTTCTCAGAATTGCCCATCCACATGTACCGATCACTTGTTCTCAGGACTGACCTTCCTACCCTACAGCTTCTCTAGTTCTCAGGACTGCCCATCAACCTCCAGCGATCCTCAGTTCGCAGGACTCACTGTCCACCTCCACAGATCTTTGTTCCCAGGGCTGACTGTCCACCTGCACAGATCCCCAGTTTTCAGAACTGACCTCCACCTCTACAGATCCCCAGGTCTCAGGACTCACCATCCACCTCTAAAGATCCTTATTACTCAGGACTGACCGCCCACCTCTGCATTTGCCCAGTTCTCAGGATTGACTCTCCACCACTTAAGCTTCCCAGTTCTCAGGACTGACCATCCACCTCTACAGATCCCCAGTTCTCAGGACTGACTTTCCACCTCTACAGATGCCCAGTTTTCAGGACTGGCCATCCATGTCTATAGATCCTCAGTTCTCAGGAATGCTCATCCACCTCTTGAGATGCCCAGTTTACAAGACTGCCTGTCCACCTGTAGTGATCCTCAGTTCTCAGGACTCACTGTCCACCTCCACAGATCCTTAGTTCTCAGGGCTGACTGTCCAACTCTACACCTCTTCGTTTCTCATGACTGAGCAGCCACCTCCACAGGTCCCCAGTTCTCAGACCTGACTATCCACTTTTACAGGTCCCACATCTCAGAACTTACCCTCCTCTCCTACACATCCTCAGTTCTCAGGACTGCCTGTCTACCCCTGCAGATTCCTAGTTCTCAGGATTGGACATCCATCTCTACAGATCCCCAGTTCTCAGGACTGACCATCAACCTCTACAGTTCTTAGGACTGACCTTTAACCTCTACAGGTCCCCAGTTCTTAGGACTGACAGTCCACCTCTAAAGATCCTCAGTTGTCAGGGCTGACCATCCACCTCTACAGATCCCCAGGGACTGACCATCCACCTCTATAGATCCTCAGTTCTCAGGAGTGCCCATCCACCCCTACAGATCCCCAGGGACTGACCATCCACCTCTATAGATCCTCAGTTCTCAGGAGTGCCCATCCACCCCTACAGATGCCCATTTCTGAGGACTGACTGTCCATATCTACAGATCTTAGTTCTCAGGACTGACCGTCCACCTCTACACTTCCCCAGTTCTCAGGACTGACTGTCCACCTCTACAGATCCTACGTTCTCACGACAGACCATCTACCTCTACAGATCCCCAGTTGTCAGGTCTGATTTCTCTACCACTACAGATGAAATCCTACAGTCTTGGGTCATCAGTGTCCTGTTCTGCTCCAGTCTGTCCACTCTCCAGTCGGGGCTCACTTCTTGGGCGTGGGCATACATTGCTTTATTTTCACAAAGCTGCTCCTGCTTTATTTCCCCAAGGCCATTCTTGAACTGTTCCTTTGTGGACAATAGGGCCCTCCTGGTCCTGGACTAGGTGACCCACTGTCCTTTCCAGGAGTCGTTATGGGAGTGTCACAATGACTCGGAGACTCGCACCAGGACCCCTTTCCTCCACTGCACCCAAACCGCGGTTCTGGTCAGGACCCCGCCTCTAGCCTGAGTGCCTTGGATCACCCCTTGGATCACCCCTGGACCACACCTGGATCACACCTGGATCACACCTGGACCACACCTGGACCACACCTTGGATCACGGTCACCAGCTCCCTCTCTTGCTGGGGACAGAATTTAACATCGTCTCTGAGTTTCCTGCACTCATATTGGGGCCAAGGGATGCATGTAACTTCAGGGCCTACTGTGCACAGTGGGGTAACTGGACCATTTTGGGGGTGTTTGTGAAAACTGAAATAGGTGTTGTGTGTGCAGAGCCTCGTGGGGTATCTCCACTCCTGTGTGACCTCTTCTCCAGTCATGTGACAGCCTCTGTGCACCCCTCCACTATGGTCACATGACAGCTCTGTGCACCCCTCCACTATGGTCACGTGACAGCTCTGTGCACCCCTCCACTATGGTCACGTGACAGCCCTGTGCACCCCTCCACTATGGTCACGTGACAGCCTCTGTGCACCCCTCCACTATGGTCACGTGACAGCCCTGTGCACCCCTCCACTATGGTCACGTGACAGCCCTGTGCACCCCTCCACTATGGTCACGTGACAGCCTTGTGCACTCCTCCACTATGGTCACGTGACAGCTCTGTGCACCCCTCCACCGGGGTCACGTGACAGCTCTGTGCACCCCTCCACTATGGTCACGTGACAGCTCTGTGCACCCCTCCACTATGGTCACGTGACAGCCCTGTGCACTCCTCCACTATGGTCACGTGACAGCCCTGTGCACCCCTCCACCGGGGTCACGTGACAGCTCTGTGCACCCCTCCACTATGGTCACGTGACAGCCCTGTGCACTCCTCCACTATGGTCACGTGACAGCTCTGTGCACCCCTCCACTATGGTCACGTGACAGCCCTGTGCACCCCTCCACTATGGTCACGTGACAGCTCTGTGCACCCCTCCACTATGGTCACGTGACAGCTCTGTGCACCCCTCCACCGGGGTCACGTGACAGCTCTGTGCACCCCTCCACTATGGTCACGTGACAGCCCTGTGCACTCCTCCACTATGGTCACGTGACAGCTCTGTGCACCCCTCCACTGCGGTCACGTGACAGCTCTGTGCACCCCTCCACTGCGGTCACGTGACAGCCCTGTGCACCCCTCCACTATGGTCACGTGACAGCTCTGTGCACCCCTCCACTGCGGTCACGTGACGGCCCTGTGCACCCCTCCACTATGGTCACGTGACAGCTCTGTGCACCCCTCCACTATGGTCACGTGACAGCCCTGTGCACCCCTCCACTATGGTCACGTGACAGCTCTGTGCACCCCTCCACTGCGGTCACGTGACAGCCCTGTGCCCTCCCTCCGTCCCTCCCTCCTGCCACGTCACCTTGTCATTGTGCTGTAGAGGTCATGTTCCACCCTGCGTCTGCTTGCTTCCACAACGCTGCTGACATGGAACTTTCCCGTCTTTCCTGTGGAATACCACACTGCAGAATTCAAACAGACAGCATGCCCCTGCCCCCTCTAGCTCTCTCCTCAGTCCAGCTGCACGGCCGGGCTCACACAGCCTCTGGCCTCAGCCTGACGTGGTTGTGCTCAGTGGGCCGTGTCCCCTCCTGGCCGGGAGGACCCCGCACGGCGGCTCTCGCTGCCACAGGAGGCTGGGGCTGAGCTGGCCGCACTTCTCAGCTGTGCAAACCATGTCCGCGGCTGCTCTTTGTGAACATTTGGTTACCTGTGACCATGATGGACTTCCTAACAGTTCGTCTATTTATTAAGTGCATTTAGCAAAAGACATTCAGACCTACCAAACGTTTCCAGTGAAATCACCCTCATCACATTTTACTTTTTCAGCACTGGAAGAGCATAACCGACCAAGATTCCTTCACTGAGTGAGAGCCTCTCATTCAGTGCAGGGCCTCTCTGGTCACTGAGCACGGCCTGCCTCCTGGAGCCTCCTGCATCTTCTGACCTGCTGAAGACGCTGTCCTGATGGCCACTCACCCCCATGCGTCCCTCCCTCTGTCCCCATGAGCATCTGAACACACCCAGCAGACACAATGCAAGCAAACACAATGCTTCAGGACAAGAAGCAAAGCCATCCGGCTCCAAAAGGGTTGATTAAAGCAAAGCGAGGAGACATGAAATCAAACAGAAAAGGGAGAAAGCCAACATCTGCCTGCTCCAAAATCACAAAGCCCGTCAGGCCTGAGGGTCCTCCTGCCCATGCTAAGTGCTTGGCTTTTGCTCAGAGCTGTGCTTGAACATTGTTTTCACAGCCCTTGCTTGCCAAAATCCAATGAGTGGGAAAGAGCTTGCAGCCTTCCTTTTAAAACAAATTCACTGCAGGGAAATGATTGCTCCTCGGTCTTGGACTTGCACAGCATTGGAAGGCAGGGAGGTCCGCCCAGCTGCGCCTGGACAAGCTCCTCCCAGAGCCTCCGCACAGCCTGTCGCGCTCCCCTCCCTCTCTGTCTCTAGGTGTGTCTCTCCACTCCCTCTGTTTACCAAAAGGTGATTATTTTAGCTATTATATTTCAGTAGAATTTTAAACATAATTTCTCATTGCAACTCATGATCCCAGAAAATACACCATTGCTAAATGAAAACTGTAGCAAATGAACAAACATACTCTAAAACTTTTCAAATTCTGATATCATAGGAAGATTAATTCTTTTCAAAAGGACTTATATTTTAACCTTTCTAAACTCAAGAATTACAATTTTAGCCTTGGAAGTGTGAACAGGACACGTTGCTACTGACTGTTAGTAGTTACCATTCTGTTTTCTACTTAACAAGGGTGAAAAATGTCTTCATAAAGACATAAGATTGTGTTACTCACCCCCAGGAGGTTCTTTGCCTCTCAAGATGAAAGACAAGAGAAGTGCAGTGCCGGCCACGGCCACGGTGCCCGCCAGGGCTGCAAGCACCTTCATCTACAGCTGGAAGGGAGGGGCGTGGGGCGGCCTGAGCGCAGGGCTGTGCACCTCCGCTAACTCCAACCCCCTATCCTCACCAGAAAGATGTACACTCAGCAGAGAAGTCCAGTGCCGGCCACGGCCACGGTGCCCGCCAGGGCTGCAAGCACCTTCATCTACAGCTGGAAGGGAGGGGCGTGGGGCGGCCTGAGCGCAGGGCTGTGCACCCCCGCTAACTCCAACCCCCTATCCTCACCAGAAAGATGTACACTCAGCAGCAGAGCTGATCGGGCCAGAGTGCCTTGATTTACCCGAAGGCGAGGTACCTTGCCTGACAGCTTGAGTCCTCCCATAGCTCACTGGTGACCTGTCTTAACTCATGGTTATGTTAAGTGTATGAAGTTATTGAGAATGATTACTAGAAATAAATCTGTTTACCCTAATACATCTATTTGGAACAAATCACTAATACTAAGATTTGAGCATTTATGAGAATAGTAATAAAATCCTCAATGCCTACTGGATTTCTTAGGGTATTCTTGTTATGAAGTAACTTAGAATTAAGAATTGTTACGACAGAACAAAAGATCCCAAGTCAATAGCTTCCACTTTCTAGATCTTGTTTCTTAGTCTTAGACTTTCTGTACCTGTTTATGAGGCTGTGATCTTATTAACCAGAATATCCCCGGGGGAAGACAGCCTGGTGAACCATGGCTCCCACTGCTCAGATCTTATCCAGCCCAGTTGAGACCAGCTCACCCGAGACCAGCCCACCCCACCCAGCACACTGGAGACCCAGCACACCTGAGATCAAAAGGCTGGAGACCCATTATCTATGAAACCCAGCACAGCTGAGACCAACATGGTCAAGACCAGCACAGCCAAGACCAGCACGGCTGAGACCCCGCACACGCAAGATCCAGTACACACTCGACCCAGCACGGCTGAGACCCGGCACACGCAAGATCCAGTACACACTCGACCCAGCACGGCTGAGACCCCGCACACGCAAGATCCAGTACACACTCGACCCAGCACGGCTGAGACCCAGCACACGCAAGATCCAGTACACACTCGACCCAGCACGGCTGAGACCCGGCACACGCAAGATCCAGTACACACTCGACCCAGCACGGCTGAGACCCGGCACACACAAGATCCAGTACACACTCGACCCAGCACGGCTGAGACCCGGCACACGCAAGATCCAGTACACACTCGACCCAGCACAGCTGAGACCCGGCACACACTCGACCCAGCACAGCCAAGACCAGCCCAGACAAGTCCAGTGCAGCACCTGAGCTGCCCATCTCTCTGGGCCACACTCACCCATCAGTTCTGATGGGAAAAGCCCCCACACATGCCCCTTCCCCAAATTACTTCTAATGATTGTTTCCTCCTACAAAATGGGAAACCCAAAAGTTTTACCACCGAGCTTCTCTCAGGCGAGGAGGACGGAGTGCCTCGCTGGGAGAACTGTGTCTGGAAACTTCTGGAATGGCTTGCTCTCCGAGGACGGAGCACCGCTGTATAAATGGATGCTACGCTCTGGTGCCCGGAGCTGTGGAAGGCGTGGCTCCCGCGACTAGCGAGGGGCACTCAGCGGCTCTGGGCCTGTGCCCACTGCCCTGCGCCTGGCTGCTCACAATCCAGGCATCACACCAGCAACCGCCACGCCCGTCCAGCTTCTGTGCATTGGGCGAGGAAACCCCACGCGCCCCGGAACAAGGAATTACTACGATGGGCCCACTCCCCACTCCCCACTTTCCATTTTCCTCTGACTTTTCCAAGTTACATTCTGCATGAAAAGTGAGACACAAGTCTTCCTCCATCGGCTGTGTTGGCAGCTGCCCCAGTGCGAGGTGTCGGCTGGACACCTTGGTCTACCACTGTCCTTGGATTGCAGGTCCTTAGGCCTGAAGGGAGAGCTTCATGCACGGTGCTGTTGTGAGAGCTGAGGGCTGAACGGCCCTCGTGCAGCTGCTCTGAGTGAAGACGTCCCCCGTGGGGAGGGGGGGCTCTGGGGAGGACGTCCCCCGTGTGGGGGGCTCTGGGGAGGACGTCCCCCATGGGGAGGGGGGCTCTGGGGAGGACGTCCCCATGGGGAGGGGGGCTCTGGGGAGGATGTCCCCATGGGGAGGGGGCCTCTGGGGAGGACGTCCCCATGGGGAGGGGGGCTCTGGGGAGGATGTCCCCATGGGGAGGGGGGCTCTGGGGAGGATGTCCCCATGGGGAGGGGGGCTCTGGGGAGGACGTCCCCATGGGGAGGGGGGCTCTGGGGGGGGCTCTGGGTGATGAACGTCCCCGTGGGGGCTCTGGGTGATGAACGTCCCCGTGGGGGCTCTGGGTGATGAACGGCCCTTCAGGGACTGTGCTCCGAGGCAGCCTGGCAGAGCCTCCTTCCCGGGCTCCTGAAGCTCCAAGGACGCGGGATGAAAGGCCCTGCCATGCACAGTGAGGGCAGGTCCAGCAGCTGACTGGACCAGCCTCCTCTTCTTTGTTCTGCCTCTTCGTGTTTACACCTATCAAATGTGCCAGCACCTTCTCTAGGGAAGTGGAGGCCAGGAAGAGGGTCTGCCTGTGTGCAGGGGGGCACTGTTCAGGGGGAGCACCGTGCAGGGGAGCACCGTGCAGGGGAAGCACCGTGCAGGGGGGCACCGTGCAGGGGAAGCACCGTGCAGGGGGGCACCGTTCAGGGGGAGCACCGTGCAGGGGGAGCACCTGCAGGGGGAGCACCGTGCAGGGGAAGCACCGTGCAGGGGGAGCACCTGCAGGGGGAGCACCGTGCAGGGGAAGCACCGTGCAGGGGGAGCACCTGCAGGGGGAGCACCGTGCAGGGGGAGCACCTGCAGGGGGAGCACCTGCAGGGGGAGCACCGTGCAGGGGGAGCACCTGCAGGGGGAGCACCTGCAGGGGGAGCACCGTGCAGGGGGAGCACCTGCAGGGGGAGCACCTGCAGGGGGAGCACCTGCAGGGGGAGCACTGTTCATGGGGAGCACCGAGCAGGGGGAGTACCGAGCAGGGTAGAGGTGGGGATGCATGCTCTTCCTGTGAAGTAGTGTTCCCATGTCACCAGACAGGCGCTGTGTTGGGACGTGTGCGGGGCACTGCTGCTTTCCAGCCTGGAATGTGGCTGCACACTTGCTCTGTGTGGTGCAGGAGCACAGGGCTGGAGCAAGGGCCTCCGGTGTGAGCTTGGCCGCGGGGCTTGGGGCCGGTGCCCCCTCCCCCCCAAGGCTCAGTGAAGCTCCCTTCCCCCCCTCCCCCCCCCACCGCACACCCAGAGCAGCCCCTCGGTGAGCTAAAGATACTCTGTGAGCGTCGGCCAGGGACTCAGCGCCACCCGGACCTGCTGAGCTCACCGCCAGCGTCGGCCAGGGACTCAGCGCCACCCGGACCTGCTGAGCTCACCGCCAGCGTCGGCCAGGGACTCAAGCGCCACCCGGACCTGCTGAGCTCACCGCCAGCGTCGGCCAGGGACTCAGCGCCACCCGGACCTGCTGAGCTCACCGCCAGCGTCGGCCAGGGACTCAGCGCCACCCGGACCTGCTGAGCTCACCGCCAGCGTCCGCTCCGTGGCCGGCTCTTCTGCCTGCTCAGTGTCTCCACCACATTGTTTCAGGAGTGGAGATGTGAATCTAATACCGATGCTGCGGAAAAGTTAAAAAAGCTTCAAAAGAGTTTACGTATCACTCATGTGCGGGATGTGTGTGTGTGTGTGTGTGTGCGCGTGTGCGTGTGCATGTGTATGCATGTGCATGTGTGTGCATGAGTGCGTGTGTATGCATGTGTGTGCATGAGTGCGTGTGTGTGTGCGTGTGTATGCATGTGTGTGTGCGTGTGTGCATGTGCTGGAACTTGGACTGCAGGCATGCGCCTGTCCTTGAACGTTGTTGCTCAAGGCTAGCACTCCACCAGTTGAGCCAGAGCGCCATTTCCACCTTTTTCTGGTGGTTATTTCAGGATAAGAGTCTCACAGACTTTCCTGTCTGTCTGGCTTTGAACCACAGTCCTCAGCTCTCAGCCTCCTGAGCAGGGGTGAAGACAGGGTGAGTCAGGGAGGTTCACGTCGGCTCGGCTCCTCCTGCTGATCTGCAGCAGCGACGATGAGAATCCCGCCGGAGACCGCGAGTCTCCCTGCGGTGAATCACCAGCCTCTGAGCAGCGTCCCGTACCACGCCAGGGCATTTCTGAGCCGGGAGCTGACCGCTGCACCTTGGGCAGCGTCCCGTACCACGCCGGGGCATTTCTGAGCCAGGAGCTGACCGCTGCGCCTTGGGCAGCGTCCCGTACCACGCCGGGGCATTTCTGAGCCGGGAGCTGACCGCTGCGCCTTGGGCAGGGCTGCTGACGGCAGTGGGCTGCACACCGCCCTCCAGCTCCCAGAAACACCCAGGATGTTCACCTCGTTTCTTCGTGAAGCACCTGGCACGGTGCCATCTGTAGCGCTGTGCACCCGTCCCTGGCCGCAGAGCAGCCTGGCGTGGGCGCCGCTCACCGAGGGCTCTGTAGGCATGGGAGGCCCTGGGAGGCATCCTCTAGTGGAAACAAGCAGCGAGTGGAATTCACTGCCAGGCGGGAGCTGCCCCGGCCTGGCAGCGGGGCTACCACCGTCACGCCTGCAGGGTGCCCGGCCGTGAGTAGTTTGAACGGTCGCTAGGTCACATGCTCACCGCCTCAGCACCAGCGCGACCCGGGCCTGGCGCCAGGATCCCAGAGAGCTCGAGGCGGCGCCGGGGGCCTTGTGACTGATGTCAGAGGCTCGAGCACTGTGTGCCTCCTCCGCCGCTCAGTGGGCTGTGAGGAACACTTCGCTCCTCTCCAGAGCATTCTAGTAGCTTCCAAGTCAGGCGTGACACTCCATCGGGACGTCCCCAGGCCCGGCACCCATTAGGAGAGCGACCATCCCTGACACTGCTCTGTGCCTCTGGGCCGTCAAAGCCCGCGTTGACGCCCCAACACAATCTGTCCAAAGGGCTTCGGAAGGCTGTCCTTCACTGTGACTTGAGTGAGCCGCGGGGCGAGCTCTCTGACGGCGGCGTCTTTCACAGTTTACAGCCATCGATCAGTGCTGTGACATGGAGCTGCGGATTGAATTGACTTACTTTGTCTGAGCTCCTTTGCAATGAAATGGTGTTGAGATCATTTAAAAATTTTTGGAGAGCCAGGCACTAGTGCCTCATGCCTGTCATCCTACCTGCTCAGGAGGCTGAGATCTGAGGACCGCGGTTCAAACCTAGTCCGGGCAGGAAAGCCCATGACACTCTTATCTCCAATTAACCACCAGAAAACCAGAAGTAGCGCTGTGGCTCAAGTGGTAGAGCACTCACTTTGAGCTGAGGAGCTGAGGGACAGCGCCCAGGCCAGGAGTTCAAACCCCACAACTGATAAAAAGAAATTTTTTTTGGAGAAATTAAAACTCTACTCACCATTGATAGGAATGAAACTGGTGCAGACAGTGGGAGGTGTGGATGGTTTGTGTGTGCAGAGTCCTGAGCACACTCATGGGAGGTGTGGATAGTTTGTGTGTGCAGAGTCCTGAGCACACTCGTGGGAGGTGTGGATGGTTTGTGTGTGCAGAGTCCTGAGCACACTCGTGGGAGGTGTGATGGTTTGTGTGTGCAGAGTCCTGAGCACACTCGTGGGAGGTGTGGACAGTGTGTGTGCAGAGTCCTGAGCCCACTGGTGGGAGGTGTAGACGGTGTGTGTACAGAATCCTGAGCCCACTTGTGGGAGGTGTGGATGGTGTGTGCAGAGTCCTGAGCCCACTCGTGGGAGGTGTGGATGGTGTGTGTGCAGAGGTCTGAGCACACTCGGAGGTGTGGATGGTTTGTGTGTACAGAGTCCTGAGCACACTCGTGGGAGGTGTGGACGGTGTATGTGCAGAGTTCTGAGCACACTTGTGGGAGGTGTGGACAGTGTGTGCAGAGTCCTGAGCACACTCGTGGGAGGTGTGGACGGTGTGTGTGCAGAGTCCTCAGCACACTCGTGGGAGGTGTGGACGGTGTGTGTGCAGTCCTGAGCACACTCGTGGGAGGTGTGGATGGTGTGTGCAGAGTCCTGAGCCCACTCGTGGGAGGTGTGGACAGTGTGTGTGCAGAGTCCTGAGCACACTCATGGGAGGTGTGGATGATGTGTGTACAGAGTCCTGGACACACTCGTGGGAGGTGTGGATGGTGTGTGTGCAGAGTCCTGAGCACGCTCGTGGGAGGTGTGGACGGTGTGTGTGCAGAGTCCTGAGCACACTCGTGGGAGGTGTGGACGGTGTGTGTGCAGAGTCCTGAGCACACTTGTGGGAGGTGTGGATGGTGTGTGTGCAGAGTCCTGAGCACACTCGTGGGAGGTGTGGACGGTGTGTGCAGAGGTCTGAGCACACTTATGGGAGGTGTGGATGGTGTGTGCAGAGTCCTGAGCACACTCATGGGAAGTGTGGATGGTATGTGTGCAGAGGTCTGAGCACACTCATGGGAGGTGTGGATGATGTGTGTACAGAGTCCTGAGCACACTCGTAGGAGGTGTGGATGGTGTGTGCAGAGTCCTGAACACACTCGAGGGAGGTGTGGACGGTGTGTGTGCAGAGTCCTGAACACACTCGAGGGAGGTGTGGATGGTGTGTGCAGAGTCCTGAGCACACTTGTGGGAGGTGTGGATGGTGTGTGTGCAGAGTCCTGAGCCCACTTGTGGGAGGTGTGGACGGTGTGTGTGCAGAGTCCTGAGCACACTCGTGGGAGGTGTGGACGGTGTGTGTGCAGAGTCCTGAGCACACTTGTGGGAGGTGTGGATGGTGTGTGTGCAGAGTCCTGAGCACACTCGTGGGAGGTGTGGACGGTGTGTGCAGAGGTCTGAGCACACTTATGGGAGGTGTGGATGGTGTGTGCAGAGTCCTGAGCACACTCATGGGAAGTGTGGATGGTATGTGTGCAGAGGTCTGAGCACACTCATGGGAGGTGTGGATGATGTGTGTACAGAGTCCTGAGCACACTCGTAGGAGGTGTGGACGGTGTGTGCAGAGTCCTGAACACACTCGAGGGAGGTGTGGACGGTGTGTGTGCAGAGTCCTGAACACACTCGAGGGAGGTGTGGATGGTGTGTGCAGAGTCCTGAGCACACTTGTGGGAGGTGTGGATGGTGTGTGTGCAGAGTCCTGAGCCCACTTGTGGGAGGTGTGGACGGTGTGTGTGCAGAGTCCTGAGCACACTCGTGGGAGGTGTGGATGGTGTGTACAGAGTCCTGAGCACACTCGTGGGAGGTGTGGATGGTTTGTGTGTGTAGAGTCCTGAGCACACTCGTAAGAGGTGTGGATGGTTTGTGTGTGTAGAGTCCTGAGCACACTCATGGGAGGTGTGGATGGTTTGTGTGTGTAGAGTCCTGAGCACACTCGTGGGAGGTGTGGACAGTGTGTGTGCAGAGTCCTGAGCCCACTCGTGGGAGGTGTGGACGGTGTGTGTGCAGAGGTCTGAGCACACTCGTGGGAGGTGTGGACGTTGTGTGCAGAGTCCTGAGCACACTCGTGGGAGGTGTGGACAGTGTGTGTGCAGAGTCCTGAGCACACTCGTGGGAGGTGTGGATGGTGTGTGTGCAGAGTCCTGAGCACACTCGTGGGAGGTGTGGACGGTGTGTACAGAGTCCTGAGCCCACTTGTGGGAGGTGTGGACGGTGTGTGCAGAGTCCTGAGCACACTCGTGGGAGGTGTGGATGGTGTGTGCAGAGTCCTGAGCACACTCGTGGGAGGTGTGGATGGTGTGTGCAGAGTCCTGAGCACACTCGTGGGAGGTGTGGACGGTGTGTGTGCAGAGTCCTGAGCACACTCGTGGGAGGTGTGGACAGTGTGTGTGCAGAGTCCTGAGCACACTCGTGGGAGGTGTGGACGGTGTGTGTGCAGAGTCCTGAGCCCACTGGTGGGAGGTGTGGAGAGTGTGTGCAGAGTCCTGAACACACTCGAGGGAGGTATGGATGATGTGTGTACAGAGTCCTGAGCACACTCGTGGGAGGTGTGGACGTTGTGTGCAGAGTCCTGAGCACACTCGTGGGAGGTGTGGACGGTGTGTGTGCAGAGGTCTGAGCACATTCGGAGGTGTTGATGGTGTGTGTACAGAGTCCTGAGCACACTCGTGGGAGGTGTGGATGGTGTGTGCAGAGTCCTGAGCACACTCGTGGGAGGTGTGGACGGTGTGTGTACAGAGTCCTGAGCACACTCATGGGAGGTGTGGACGGTGTGTACAGAGGTCCGAGCACACTTGTTGGAGGTGTGGACAGTGTGTGTGTAGAGTCCTGAGCACACTCGTGGGAGGTGTGCACAGTGTGGGCACAGAGGCCGGCCATGGCTGGGCTGGGGGAGGGACACAGGGGAGCTTTGTGGAGGGCGGGTCAGCTTGGGTTGGGGAGGGTGGCTGTGCTTTGGTGATGGCGGTGGCTGCGTGGGGGTCTGTGCTGTGCCGCAGAGCCGGTAGACGGCACCCACAGTAGCCAGGACAGCAGGCTGGATGTCGTGCATCGTTTGCCACAGTTGATGTTTTAATGAATCCAGCCCCTGGGCCTCTGCTTCCTCCCCCTTCTCCCTCATCTGCCTGGTCGGTGCCCACCTTCCGCCACAGCCTGCGTTTACGACTGCTCTGGCAGATGTGCTGTGACCTGCGTGCCCTCTGTCCACAGGCTCCGGCTTTCTGACGGCCAGGTGTCCTGAGCCCCACGGCTGGTTTCCCGACTCCCTGTCTCCCTGCAGTCCACCTCCGTGCCCCAGACCCCCTGAGTGCCAGGGATTTGAACAGAGAGGCCGGGCGGCCCCACCCTGCCCAGCGCCAGAGCCCTCACAGGCCTGGAGGCGGAGCGCCGGCGCCTGGCAAGGCCGAAGAAAGGCCGTGTTTTCTTTTCATGCCGCCACTGTGTTCTGGGACAAGCCATTGCCTCTGAGAGCCTTTCTGACACAGATCACTGCCTGGGTGGGTGGAGAGTCACTGTGCTGTGGCTGCTCCTGTGGCATGTCCCTGGGGCTCATTCCAGGGGAGGCTGGTGAACCCCAGAGGATCCGCCACACCGCAGAGCTGCTCAGAGAAAACGGGACCTGAGTGCAGGCTTGCCTGGCACACGGGCAGGCCCCTCACCTGGGCAGTGCCCACAGACTGACCCAGGGGCTCCAATCCGGTTGGAGGCGTGCAGTCTCGTGGTGCACAGGGACCCACGGCTGCCCGGTCCCACACACGCTCGACGAATTCTTGTTTCATTTTAACTTCTTGGAAATTTTACTTTATCTTTCTAAACTAGGTCTAAGACTTTATTCAGAAACTTTTGTACTTGGCACAAGCAGAAACATTTAGGTGACAAGGAACAAAAGGCAAAACCAAAAATACCACCATGGCTCAGATTGACGCATGCCCCAGCCCCGGCAATCTGTTGCCAGGAGACGGCGCTCACAGGAGAGTTGCTTGTGGGTTAAACGCCTCTCTTCACAGAGTGAAACTGATTATGGCGGCTCTCAGCACCCATGGTCGTCCCTCACCGCACAGAGACGCGAGCACA